AGCTCGGGTTGCAACTTTAAACGAAAGTTACTCAAACAGGAGGAATTTGTCGTTAGCATTGGACTATTTTCAGTGGCAGATTGATACACCATTTGGAACTGTGAAATATAAACTAACTGGTCATGGAGGCAAATGTTCCTCTAGTACACAGTGGGGCTTACTGATGTGTAAAAGAACTCTCGTACATTAGTAATTACTTCAGAATGTTGGGCTTTCTGACAATACTAAAGCACAAGTTTAATGCTTTAATACAAAGCTGTTAGCGTAGGAACAGTCACATCCCAGATTTTACAAGACAACCAGTCAATACTTCTGAAATTGTGGGACATGCCCCCCACCCACAAATAAAAAGCCTTCACTAGATTAGAGGGCTGGATTAACGTTCAAAATAGCCTTGTACACCAATCAAACCCCCAATAGAGAGCATTACTGTTCCCGGCGTAACTAGACAGAGCCTGTCCCTATTGCACACAGAGGAGTGCTGAGAAACATGTTGCTGCTGGATGTGGAGGCCATGGAGGCGAAGCTCGGGTCCCAGGTGCATACACACACCCACTGACAAAGGTGCTTAACACTGGGGAACTCCCCAAATGTTTAGTGCCCGCACGCATGACCGGACACGTCTAGACCAGACGAATAACGTATTACGCAGAGACGGTGAGGGTATTAGGTGTGTAAAGTAACAAGGCATATGCACTCTTATCTCACGGTAAATATTTGTGTTTGTGCTGTCAACAGTAATTCTGTATCAAAGAAGAATCACAAAGGGCTGCACAGTTTCTCCATACGTTTGTAGTACAGTCTGTTTTACATGAAATGTTTGCATGTAATCTATTTTTAAATAAATATAATAATAGTCTCATAACTGGGGGTAATATATCGCAGTTGAAAAATCTCTTATTATATTATTCATATAATTTATAATAATACACTTCTGATGTTATTTTCCATGCATGTCTTGTTTATCTGCCTCCCAGTCAAACAAACACTCATCACATCATAAGGCATCAATGTTGTCCTGAAATCTTCCAGAAATCTTGTGTCAAGCTGGCTATTGCTAAAGGGTAAATATCTGAAACCATTGACATATGGAGCCTGTTTTAAGCAAACTTTGAAAAAAAATTTAGCATTTCAATCAACTGTATTTGTGAGAAAAAATTTGAGGCAAAAAGCCTCTGAGCTTCACTAGTAGTGAATATGAGAGGAGGATTTTGCCAGCTGGAAAGAAAACACCATGCAGTGGATCTCTACGATAGAAAATCAAGAGGGGGGGGTAGGGAGGGAGGGAGGGTTCAGAAATGTTTTTAATCGCTGCTTGATGTAAAATATTATAGGACGAACTTATCAAGTGTTTCTTTGTCCCTTGTAGACCACCGCTTGTTGATGGAGAAGTTTATAACTAACTCAAGACCATGATCCTTTGTCAGGCCCAATGTTTTTATGGAACTCGGTTAAAGGGCGTAGCACGGGAACACGGAGGACCCCACTACCCTTTTAAAATCACAGGGCAGATACACAATTGGATTTGAAGTTTTAAGTAAGTCATTGTGAGGCGGTGCGCGGCTTGGTGGACGTCTACCCTTCATGGTGCTCTTCTACTTCCAGCAAGCTTCTGTACATTAGCACAGATATCACACCAGCATCTCATTTAAACACGGTTTATACTTTGCAATTGCTCTGAATAAAATGTCTTTATAAACATGCCACAACACAACCATGACATAATTTCCTCATTGTTCCTCACAGCAGACCACTTAATGTACAGGCCTTTTCTCACACTTATAATGTGCCGATTCCCAAGACGTATAAATCTTTTCCCTTTAGATAAGGCTGGAAGGCATTTTGTAAAAACGAGTTAGCAGTTTCAGGTTCATGCTCGTCTTGAAAGGCTGCTGTACTAGACGACAAGCCCTGACTCGAAACCGAGTTGGACACGTGCATGTACGTATAGCTGTCCTGTTCTAAGCCCAGACTACGCCAGTCCAACATCATGTACTCAGTTCCCATGATAAACATGGCATGTTCTATACTATTTAAAACTTTACGGTCTCTGCAGGATCACCACTGTTCAGTAATACCTCACACGCCGCCTTTTAACTGCTGACTGGAAGCAATTAAATCTTTAGGTTGGACAGCAGTTGATGTGTCAGAGTGGTTAAGTAATGATCACAGCTCCAAATCAAGATTTACTTCCATGTAAAAAACAAAGAAAACAATGGCTCCCTCTCAGCCCAAGATAAACCCATTAGACTGCAGACGCCAAGATTTTGGAATGGAAAGCTTTCAGATTTTTGGGAGGTCTCTGGCTACTATTAGCTAACATAAAATAATTTGCTGTTTGACATCATTTGAATGATCTTGATAGTGTGACAGTTGCCAATCATCCACTAGCCTCAGCGGTTGGCCAGTACTCAGCAGGTATCTAAGTACAGGGTGCACGGCTGGAAAAGGACACGTACAAATTGCCTAATTGCTCCCCGGGCGAAAATGTAAAACCATGGGTTAGAATGCAATGTAAGTCGCTTTGGATAAAAGCGTCAGCTAAATGACCTGTAATGTAATGTACACGCTTACAGACTGCTACTGACTGCCACACTTAACAGTCAAAAACAGGCCATCCTCGCTATCTACAAATTATATAGTGTGGAATATCACTCCCCAAAAAAACGATTATGCAGAGCTATGTTATGTTATATACAGCTTTGATCCGGCTCAAACCCAAACTGAACATTGAACATTTGTAACCACATTTGTAAGGCGATCATACCATGTAGAGTTGACTGCATGAATTGTTTAAATCCTGTCATATTTCACATTTCTCTGTCTAAACAGAAACACGGATAACTAACCCACTCGAGGCCCGGTGACAGCAGGGAAAAACCACGGGGCCATGCAGAGCGGCTAATGATACCCTCGGCCGGCTGTAAACAAGAGTTGTGTGTTGCTGAGACATCGAGAATCCAACCAGCTGCTGACAGAGGGACCTTAAATTAGCCTAATGTTTACCCCGACGGATCGCACAGCTCCCAAAGAGAAGTCCTTCTCCACGGATCTGAACCAACAGCACGCTCATCAGAGGTGGCACACAATGCAGTTCATACTGCCATTAAAAGACGAGTCATTGTACAAACACATTTGATCGCTTGATTCTTTTTGTATTTGGACGGTAAACATTTCCCTGGGGATAAAAGGGTAAATGAAGGACCTGCTGGGAACTAAGCGTTTTAAGGAGGGGGATGTACTTACTGAAAATGCACAGAAAAGAAAGAATGAGAAGAGGATGACCTCAGGCTGAGAGACAGACGAGGGAGGATTATGAGAGCATAACCGGCAAAAAACAGCCAGGAGATTGAGGAAAATAAACATGTGTCTGGGCGGCCGAGCACTGGCTCGGCAGAGGTGCTTCCCCTTATGGGAACAGCTGGATTTTGCGAGACGGTGAGCAATACTCCCCTCTCTACTCCCAGACTCTGACACAAGCAGGGGAATTTAGCTTCTACGTGCTGTGGGGCTTCAAATATAGCTCTACATAACTACATGGTAGTATCGTAACAACAAGGAAGTACTCAGTAGACTGCAGCTCTCATTAAGGCCCAATAATCTCCCTGGTCAACAGTGCACTGATTCCATTAGAGCCAGTGGACAGTACGTCCTCGTCATGACACAGCGGAATTTGATTGATTGGTTTAGAGCCACGAGACAATGAAAGTTACTTAAACGTGCATTCCTTCTCATGGACATCAGTGGGAGACTTTTAATGATCGTATAAATAATTGTATTAGATCTCACTTGTCTGCATGACTCTGCATTGCAATCCTGGGTTTATAGAAGTCTCAAAGTCTTAGTAAATAACCGTCACATTGTTTGTTTAGTTATAGAAAAAAATGTATCTGGAACTTCACGGAAGTGTCATGTTGAAACCACTTTTTGCGGCTGGGGGCTAATGCCAAACATTCAAACCACACCCCATTTGAAGCTAGACAGCTGTGATGCAATCAGTCCTACAAAACCAGTTCTCATACCACACAGGCAATTACTGTATGAGATTCTGGATGGTTTTATCTCAATGTTTTCTGGTAAGTTAAAAGTTAAGCGAACATTTTAAGAAAGTACACCAAATATGATAATATTTAAAAAGTTATAGTTCTACACTCCTTGAATCATATAGCGATGTAAAACGTGCAAAACACATCTCAAATTAAACGGAAAGATCCACATTATCATAAAAAACAGATTCACCTCTTTATTCACCTCTTTGATTGAAATATAAACTGAATATGCGTGATATGAAATGTACCATGTGAAATCCTAGAACAATCAAAAGCCATTGCAGGGGCACATGTTTTGTGTTCCATTGGTTTCCTAAGCGCTATGGTAGTAATTAAATCAAAAATGAATCAGTTTCGTTGTTATTCTTCTCTCTTGAGAAAGGATCCTGAGGCCTCAAGACGAAGTTGAGTTCTGCAACACTTGTGCAGGTCTTACACAAAGTACTACAGTCCCTTGATCTCGTTTCGGCTGGTTTGTGTGGGAATCATGGATTGACCGGTAATTGCAGATAAATAAACAGTGCACACGATGTCTAGTTTGATTCAAGAAATTCTCATTTCCAACCCCAAAACGATTAAACTAAAAACCTAAACTTTTACCTTTAGTAAACTAAAGGTAAACTAAAGGTAAAAATAGGCAACTCCCTCTCACTGTTCTGTAAGTGTTGGGCTTACTGCCGGCAGCTAACAACATTCCCAATACACACTTTAGCTGCTGCCAATTGACCAGACAGCTTAATGAGTTTAATCTCGTGTTTGGCAGAACTGTATGATGTGTCACGTGCCGCAACTTGACGACAAAGAGTTGCCATGGCATTGCGGCGCGTCCACAGTTTGTCCCGTTTAATGACAGGTTTCCGATCGGAGCAACTGTAAAATGATCTACATATCGAATACATTTGAAGTCCTCCCTTGGTAATTATTGATTCTCCTACGAGTGCAGATACTCACCGGCAGTTCAGAGGGTTCGGGGAGAAACTCGGCATCCTCTCCAAAAATAAAATCTGGCGGCAATTCAGGATACTGTGCATTGAATATGATATCCCCTGGGAGGAAAGAAGAGAGGAATCATCAGCTGATTGGACACTAATATGCAGAACCTGAATTCAAAAAGTTTACTTTACTTTCTTGCCATTGTGCAATACAAGATGAATCTCATATGAGCTAATCATAATTTCAGCATTATTTTCACCCTCTCAGCAGAAGAAGATCATTTTGTCTCCGGTGAGCCTCAAAATGTCATTTTCTTTCAACCAGAGAAAAAAAAGTGTAATCTTTTTCTTTCATTAATATGGCAATCTGCCTCATTCCATGTGGTTTCAGGATATGGAGAGTTTTTTTTTTTTTCTCTCGCTGTAGAAACAGGCAGAGGGAACAGTGGCCTTATATTAACCCGGCTAGTCTTTGATCTGAAGCCAGCCATTTGTACTAGTAGTATGAGTATAGTAATGAGCCAACTACATATTTACCATTGAAGCCACTCAAATCCTGCTGAACAAGTCTATCTGGTAAAGATAACTGCAGATACTTTTAAAATGGCAAGTATTCGGCAATGCAAAAACCTATTAAGGTGCTAAAACACCACAATTGAAGGATGCATCGAGAGGAAAACAAAATAAAGAAATATAACTACAGACAGCAACTGTCCTTGGATGGAGAAACCAACAACATCCTCATATAATCCAATCACATAACATGCTGCTTTTGCTGGTACACAATGTTCTGATATAACGTTACACAAGTCTGTTTGTGTGCTGCAAGACTGATCTGTTCCCCTTTCTCACCGCTCCAGCCCCAGCGCGACGAGGTAAAGCACACACACATGGAAATAGTTTTATCCCTCCCAGTGGACAAAGGAGTCAAACGAGGAGACGAGAGGACGGGCTTGTAGATCGGTTTCAAACCACTGGCAGTCTGTCAGAGACATGCTGGCTCGGCTCCAGAGGGAAAAAAAAGGGAGGTCTTAGAAGTGCAACCATTCCAGGTTACATTTAAACACCGCTTTGTTCATACAGACGGCAAAGAGAAGTATCGTCTGGTCGCCGCATGCCGGGCCTTTCCAATTCAGCGAGAGCATTTTTCTCTTATTGAGGTCATAAGGGCTTAATATGAACAACAACAACAAAGGCCACAAATTGTTGTTTAGCAGTGCCAGTCACAGTGGTGAAGTGGGAGGGCTGGTCCAGAGACGGGCTGACAGCAAAGCGGCATCCCTGATTAAAACAGCGGGTGGGTAAACCAAAGATAGATCACATGGCTTCATCATGATGTACGTGTAAAAACCCTAATTTCACACGAGGTTAGATCACAGTGTATTAGTCCCCAGGGAATTTTTTGTGCCAGACATTAGTCAAAGATTCTAACTGACAATAACAAAAAGCAATAAAAGAGGCAATATAAAGGCGTAAGAAAAATCAAATAGAAAAATATAATTGCAATAAGAGTGAGGTAAATATAGAAAATACGATTCAGTAAAGAAAGTAACACTGGCAATGACATTGAAAAGCAATAAAAAGTTATTGGATATTTTTATTCTCAGTGTCCGATGTTCATTGGAAGACTCTCTGCATTTTTCCTTTGCTGCATATTCCTAAACCTTACATCTATGATTCAAGTTTGGCTACATCTTGACGTTTTGATCATATCTGCCCAGACAGATTTTTTGCAAAATAAGCAAAGCATACTTCCCTTTTGCTAAAAAAGTTGATTTTTCCCCCCTAACCAAGACCACAATAACTTCAACGACAGTTAAAGGAAACGTCACACACGTACTCTTACATTTCAGAATGTTCCCAAACTGCAGACCCAGCGTTTCCCCTACTGCTACTGCGCGTGATAATATTTGATATAGTGGGTGCTTTTATATTCGTTGGCCTTAACGTTTTAAAAGCCTTGATATCAAACATTATTTTGTCATTCAATTCCTACAACAGAAATGTCTCAAGTATAGACATTATGGTCTTTAACTCCTCATATGCGTTCATGATCATCCTCTGCATGTCTTCCTTTGAGTTTATTTGCCAGAAAATCATGGTTTCGGTGATCAACTCTCCCCCCTTTTGAAGTTGGACGGCCACGCTCAATGATCCTGATGGCTGACGTCTGGTTCAGATTAACGAGACTGTTTGTTTGAGAGCGGATCAGCCTGAAGTCTATCATCGGGTTAATGTAAACTGGCTTATAGGACATTTGATCGGCTAAGTTGGACCACGCAACGGGGCCCTGATGTAGCACATGTGTGCGTACATGTCAGAGCTGGCTGTCGAGCATCGACGTCATTTCAGAAAGAATCAAATAGAAAACATTGAAAACCACAAGTAGAATCACTTAACATTGTTTCAATGCTGCCCATCGGGCACTTGAGGACGATGTTCCAATGAAGCGTCACCATAATAACAAAACTATTGTTGTTGTTTTTGTGCTTGTAAGATTCCTGTGGGTGCTTTAGGTCCTACTTCTTGCTTATTAAAATGCTAAACATTCCCATGTTGCTGTTTGGTTAATTGTACATTTGGTTCCAGTGGTACAGTGTGTTTACATTTTCATCCCTCGAGTTAAGGTACCACGACAGGTCAGGATGTCTCCACAGTCTTCATTCATCTCTGTTGTGGTTATATAAAGGTTCTTTTGAAAAATGAATTTATTCATTTATGCACCAGGGTTCGAGATTGAAACCACCCGTCATCTTCTAAGTGGATCTCTTGAAAATAATCAAGGCTGGATTGATTGAAATGTTGTATTTGAAATCAAATTCAGCAGTGGTCTTTTTCTTTTTTTCGAATAACATCCACATTGTTCGCCTACACAATGAATCAATTAACCTGAGCAGTCGGAGACCGGCAAATTGAAATGCTGTTAGCACTTTTAGGGAACAAAGAAATGGAATCCAAATGAACTAAATTGTTCAATCAGTTATGGTTATTTCATTTGTGTCAAACCATCAAACAGGTTTCTGCCTTGGTAGATGAAAATGTGAGCGCTGTGCACAATCAGCTGACCTGAAGCCCATGTGCTGGTTGTGGGGGGATTTATATTGTACTTATTCAATAACTTGAACTCTGAACAAATGCACAATAGGTCTGGTCATCCAAACTCCAAACTGAAAAAAAACATCTATTATAGAGACCATAACAATGTTTTGATCTCAGCCTTGTGGATGCCTGAGCAGACGGAGGAGGAGATCATTGGGGATGTCAGACCTCCAAACCATCATGGATATTTCCCACAGAGAAGTTCAAAATATTCATTTCCACCAATAATCAGAATCGGACAGGAATCAGAACTCCTTTGGACGACAGAAGTGCACCAACAGATGTGATTCCTCTGAAAGGGTGAGAGGCTGTCCAAGGGCAGCGTTTCAGACTGCCGCTCCGATGCTGGAACTGGAAACAAATCCCACCTCGGGAAAGATTTTTGATGCAGCAGATATTTGGTGGCCCACTTTTCAAATATGTTTGCTGGACGTAAGCCGATTGACTCACAGTGCTTTAGTGGTAGTTGGTGTATCCTATGCCCTGATTGGCTTATGGTGCTTCTTTTATGAAATAGTTTTTTAATTCATTGGGGTTTGAGGTCCTACCTGCTGGAGCTATTGCCGTAGTTAGAGGAAAACAACAGACTTTAGGCGGCAGAGCATTATTGCTTTTGATTCTCCTCCCCGACGCAGAAGGATTTTTACCTGTTTGGAAGACCCCCGACCCCTTCCCGTCATCATCAATCCTTATCAGTTACTTAAACTGGAAAAAAACATGTAATTTGCCATTCCTGGATGAGCCCCAGAAATGACACTCTACCTGGAAGCCCCTCTCATCTTATAATGATCAACTACCAGTGCTTCACGAGAAGGACGGCTGTTTGTGTTATATGTTCTCACTTTAATATGATGGTGTGTATTCACTTCAAACATGTGACATGCGGCTAAAGTACTAAACACAAATGACCACGAACAAACCAGGTTCTTCTACTTATTTCATTTGTAAATTGTGTTTTTTTTAATCAACATAACCGTCATCATGTTAATTTGCCTCATTTATTTACATTGGGGTTACATCCATTATAGTTGTTTATGCTACTTCCGATAAAATACCCACACCAAACTGCTCGGATTCATCGGCTCATTTACTCACACTTGAGGGTTTCTCCAGCGTAGGGGATGTGGAGCTTGAAGCGATCGCAGCAGGGGCCGGGGGTCAGAGACGTACAACTGAACACGGGAGGTAACGGAAACAACAGAAGACATAATTAATGTAAAAGCCGGAGGGCAGTGGGCAACCTGAAAGTCCAGGAATAATTCAAAGCACATTGTTTTTCTGACTGTACCGGTGCAAACTAAAAACCGTGTTCTTAACAGCTGCTCCACTTTCTTTTTCATGTAAAACTCTTTTGTGTAGACGAGTCCCTTTTTAACTGATGTGCCTTCTGTAACTCAACGTTCACTTCATACGAGAACACGGTGGTACACACAAAGGAAAAATGTATCGACCTAAACTTTTAATGCATTCAACTTTTCAAAATCAACTTCATGACTGACGTTTTAAAAGGATTTAGGTTATGCCCATTTATTTTCTCCCACTAAGCCTGCATGCAACGTCTTGGGGGTTAGAATTAACAAGATTTCTCATTTTCATTTTTTCAAATGTAAAATCATGAATAATAGAATGAAGGTGTATTGCTGAGACATCTGGTAGTGAGAACATTTTATTTTTTGTGAATTTAAAGAATCTGAAGATTCCCATTCTGTAGCAGAAAAAAATATTCATTTGTATTCATGCCATTAATGTCTCTTTCTAGGATTTAGTTTTTATTAGGGTTAGGGTTGTTGTAACGGGTGAGGTTTGTGTTGAAGAGGGCAGGTGGAACAGATTCCAAACTTTGAAGAGACAATCATTATTTTTGTATATTTCTGTACAAATCACTTAGGACAAAAATGGACAAAGTATGAACAGCCATTAAAGCTGTAAATAAGCATTGTAAATAAAATGTTTACCTTTAGCACAAAGCAATGGTGGTGGTTTGACCCTTTTTTTGTCTTTTTTAAGAGAGCAAAGACTGCATCGTGTTTCTCAGGGATTGTCTATTTTCCTGGCATGCAAGAGCATACATTATGATATCAGAATCATTTTAGTAGTCTTTAATCACCATTGTAAGTGTGAGCAGTCAGATAACAGGAAATATCAGAGATGTTGTAGGAAATATGCTAATATCTAGTTAGTACTTCAATTTAAAAAAATTATATATATATATATATATATATATATAATAAATAAATGTACAAGCCTGTGTTGATGAAAAAACATAACTTTAAGGAGCATTTCGGTATAGAGATAAAACTGAGATAGTTGTCTTTGGATCAAAGGAGGAACAATTCAAATGAAACCAAACCAGAGATCGTGGAGTCAGAACTGAATTTCAAATGCCACATTAAGACAATCACTAAGTCAACCTATTTACACCTTAAGAAATATCAAGGATGAAAGGACTCATGGTTCAGCATTGTTTGTAAAAGCTTTACTAGACCACTGCAACGGTGTCTTTACTAAGAAATCAATTTGAGTGCTGCTGCTGCTGCTTCAGTCCTCACGAAGACCAATGAAATGGATCACAAGACCGCAGTGCTGCCGTATTTACAAGTGAATCGATTTCACAATAATACTGTTGATTTTTAAGCACTTCTCTTCAGTCACACACCTCTGGTGTCTTCCTGAATTGGTCTGCTTTCTGTCCCCAGAGTCAACACAGAACGCGCCGAAGCGTTTAGTTTCGAAGCACAAACTTTGAAAATACAGTCGAACTATGTCGCTTAGATGTATTGAACCAATCTTACATGAATGCAGTGTTTAAATTTTTCCAAAGAGCTGAAGAAGAAAAGAAAAAAACAGGACCAAATATTGAAAATGTAAACTATTATTTTATATAATAATAAAAATGCAACATCACAGCAGTGTAAAGCTCAGGGCTACCGGGTGGACACCTCTGCGTTTGTTTCACGTGTTTAAGTCCTGCTCTCAAACTGCTCCTCACCCAGTTTTGAGGTCTGTGACACGGAGCAGGCTCGTGGAGTCGAGTCCCACGCGTCCATTCCGCACGACGCTGGACAGCAAGGGCCGCAGCTCGGGTGAGATGCGGTGCAGCGCGACCTCAGGGGACACGCTGTTCATTTTATCCACTGCTGCGGGGTCTGTGGAGAGATGCGACCGTTCGAGGAGATGCTTTACGTAGCATGTGACACAATGGAACCGTGCATTTGCGTAGACAATTCAAAAGGACGTTAACTAATGTCTCATCTAACGTCAACGTAAGTGACAAACGGTGATTATAAAATAGCATTTCACCATCGTACGACGTGTACGATACTGCAGTGGTTAGCCTCTGTTAGCTTTCCCCGGAAAAGAGCGTCAAATTCCCGCAATTTGAGAAAATAGCTTGGCAAAAGAATAAAGTATTAATTATTGTCCATTTAGATACAACACGTAGTGTGAGTTACAGTACCTGAAACACCTGTAAATCATACAATTCAAGAATTAACTCCAATGTTTACTTCAAGCTCTCACATTTCCGGTACATGTTGTTTGGGTCCTTTCGGTAGCCGTGGACTCAGCAGTCTATAATAATGCCTGTTAGCACAGAGAGTGTTTTCACTACCTGCGCCATATATTCCTGTTATATAGAACTCGTACACATCTGTTTATTTTTTTAAATTATGAATAAATGAGTATAAGCAAAAATAAATTCCTACTGCATTCATTTGGTGGCAACAATGGATCTGGCAACAGCTGTGACGTCAGGGAGCTGGCATGTTGCACTTTGACCGTCACTTTTCTGTTGGCTGTTTGACTTATAACCGGTTATAACGCGACAAGAACATAAATGCAAGGTAATTATTATGCTGCATATCTGAACAACAATTGGTCTCGAAGAACCTGATTTGACTTCAGTTTTCGTTTTAAACTGGATCAAATTAGCACATAGAGGTATTGCAATATGATCAGTGCTATTTCCACAACAGTGCAATGGAGCAGATTTACAACTGGGAAATTTGACTCATTGGGCTGATTCAGATTAAGTAAGAATACCCCGGAATGATGAAGTATTCATTGGAAACGGCTGGCAAGATAAATGTAAAGCTCATTATTGTCTAGCAATTACTGGTGGGGAGTAATTCATTCGATGATGTTGTGTTATTGGTACAATGTTTAGCTACAGTTGTCTTCTGAGTCTACTGCAATGGTTAGAACAATGTGGATAAAAGAGCCTTTGCAAACTCAGTGTGTGTGTTTGGGTGGACCGAGTATATAAGGAGTATTTCTAGCATTATAGCCATTATCTAAACTCCTTTACTTTTTTTTCAACCTTAAATGGTCAAATCATTGTTATAACAATCATTATCCAGCCGAATCAGATATGGCCGAAATATGTAATCTTACATGCCATTTTCTTGTGGATTCAGCTCATGGCTCAGTCTAAATAGTTTAAACCACTCTGCACAAGCATTCAGACTAAATGGTTTTAAACACATGAATGCGGCCTTTGGAGAGAATGCTTTCTTCATTCCCCCCAAAATGTGAACCTGAACCTTTTAATGATGTATTTTTTCATGCATTTGTACTAATTTCTGTGTCTATAAACACAGATTGAGGTCAATCTGCTTCATTGTGAATCCACACTCAAATTTCACAAGACGGGTGGAATTTGCTCATTTTAAGTGATTGAACAATGCAGATCGCAAAATATTCTCCCGCAGTGGAGTTTTCTGGGCGAGCTCTTGGTGCCTGCTGAGGGAAGACAATATGCTGCGAGGTGTGGGAAGAGAGAATTGAGCCATCGTGCAGCCAGCGGCCAGGCTTTCCAAGTCCTTCACTGCCTCGGCAGAGATTTGAGGAGATTAACGCACTCGCATTAGCTGCGATACAAGCCGAGGATTGAATTAATTATAGACTTTTGCTGGGCCGCGGTGCAGTCACGTGGAGTAGCATAGAAATGCCCCCCACCTCCCTCATTCCCCAATAAGATTGGAACCCATCCAACTCAGCCAGCGATGAATGCGCTATTTTTACATTCTTCCTTGTTCAGTCAAGCTAATGCTAATGTGGGAGATAAATAATATCAAGTGAATTTTTGGTTTGGGCTTTTGAGAAAACAAATTTACATATTTTGCCTGAAAAGAGGAGGCCATGCTATATATTTTGTTGTTGTTTATGAATAGCTTGTACTGTAAAACAGTAAAGTAAGTAAAAAACTGGACAAAGACTGAGGAATTCAAGAATCATCACAGTGTCATTTAATAGAAGAATCCTTAAAGATTTCAGGTCAATAAATGCGTGTTACTGCTGTATAAATAACTTGTTTGTGTCTCAATCAGATGTCGGAGGAGGCTTTTGACGTGATGGTGGTCGGCTCCTGTATGACTGACTTGGTAAGGTGAGTAACTTTACTCCTCTAACGCACTAGTAGTTGTTTCACAAGTTGACTGTAAATACTCCCAATGTTTCACAAGGCGGCCGAGCACAGAATCGCCAGTTAAATCAGAGTTCAGGAAACGTGCTTCCTCAGGTCGGCCCAACAGGAACTAAGACACGTTTTTTGAATATGTATAGTTTTTAATACTGAAAACCAAATGTGAATGCATTACATGTCTTACGACCGGCTTGCACACCTGTAGGTAAAGGTAAAACACTTATTTTAGTATTGGGACTAGTATTTCAAAAACAGGTATAGGGCTTACCATATGCATTTAAAGGCAGTGGTTTTGGACCCCCTCAAAGACGTCACAAGATAAGTATGAAGAGCACAATTATATTTACTTCTTGCTGTCTGACTTCAACTTCTGTTTTGTCTGTGAAATTATGGGCACTTTCGCCTCTCTGAGTCACAAAAAATCCTGCAACTGTGGAAAATGTAACTCATCAGTTAGACTAAATCTCTCATTATGTTCACATGAAGACCATAATCTGTGGATAAATGTTACAAAGGTAAGCAGTGCTTCACTTGCAAGTGTCTTACCAACAACATTTCCATATGCCGAAAAGGTGTGCATTTAGCTAGTACCAGCATTCATCTGAAAAATCAACTTTTTGATGAAAACCAAAGAGCAATAGTGTTTAGCCAGAGCTGCAATCATTACCAAGCCCAGCTCAATAGCGTGAAAATGTGTACTGCAATAAATCCGCACGTGTATATTTATTTTTAATCTGTTGAAAGTCAGCCGGAGACGAGTGATTTCAGCCAATCTGTAGCGCTAATGTTAGTTTAATTAGCAGTTTAATTCAGACAGAATATTCATGAATCCAATCTAAAATTTCAAATGACTTTTTGTCAAGGGAACCAATGCAATGCTCACTTCCAGGTTGGTCTACAGGTCAGCCACCTTGTCTTATGTCTCCATCCGTCAGGCATAGCAACAATAACCAACAAACGCTCAGTTGCCTTTTGCTTTAAACGTATTTCCTATTTACCACCATTTTCCATCGGGTATTCTATTTTAAAATTTAAAGCTTGTGGAAAAAAGCCCTACAGGCTGAATGGTATTTTCCATTACTGAAATGGTCTGCACAGTAATGAGAATATAGGAAGTGGTCTAAACTTAGTTGATGGCACTGGCTGCCTTTTCAATACTTGTTCTAAACGCCCAACGTCCCTCATCTAAAACCTTGTGTGGTACAACAGCTTTCAGACCATTAGGCCATAACAGCATGAAGACTTCTTGTTTAAATATAGAGGCATCTGTCCATCTTTCTTCTAATGTTTTCTGTCAGAACAACAGATACAATGTTCCAGCAGGTATTTATTGCTCTAGAAAGTGTGACCCTCACAAAGCAAATCGGACCCCGGTTTTAAAAGCCCCAAAGTGTGCAGACGATCTGGCTGCCGCTCATAGAAATGTTAGCGTTGCATCACCATCGTAGGTGGTGAGATTTGCCGAACCTAGTAGCATCCATTCCCACAAATCATTAGTCATCAGCAGCAACACAACGGGTTAGTCAAAAAACAATTCGTCAGCCTCATTTACTGTAACCGCTGTGAGGAGTGACACAATCTAGATGGATGAGTGGAATGCATTTACGGTGCAGTGTTGTGTCTGCGCTGGGCCTCGTTGTCACAGCCTCTGGAGTGGGCTGCTGCAGCCTGTGTGACAATTGTGTCATACATCTTGTATTATATGTTTTTGTGAGAAAAATAACTGTAAACCAGCTGCCAACACCTGGAGTCTCAACCGAACAACAGCAGAAAATGTGCTGGCGGGAGAAAAGTTATGTGTGCGTGTGCTCTATCTCAAGGTGTCACCACACCGTTGTACAACTCATCAAAAACATATGCCTTCTCCTATTGTTTTTTTTGGGGGGGATGGAAGGTTGATTTGAGCTTTTTGATTTGTTGATCATTAGCAATTCAAGCAGTGACTTTCTGCTTTGAAAGGCAGGCGTTGAATTAAGACCCTAATGAGCTGACGGGAAATGTGTGTGTAAGAGTGTGTGTGTTTGTGGAATGGGGCTTTTTGGACAGGGGTCAGAATGCATCTAGGGGCGGGTAGTTGTAATACTTTAGCAGGCCTTCAAAGTGACATGCATGGCAGTGTTTGTTTCGGCAGCACGAGTTCAGTGACAAACAAACACAAAAAACACAAATCTCACATTCTCTTGCCCGCTTCCATCCAGACCCCCACAAACACACAAGTGTAACTGGCATCCCTTTGGCATTTGTGCGACACATGTAACAGTCAGGCTTGTACTACGCTGCTGTAAGACGGCCGGCCGTCTGCCTGCTGTCTACAGTGCACAGAGAGGAGGAGCGGCACAGCCTCTGCGGCTTTTAACCCATTGTCAAAGCCATAGAGTGCCCCCTGCTGCCTCACTCCACCGAGACACGGTTCACCTGCTCAGTTTCCCAGCAGATGCACCACAGGAGCATTTCTGCCGAAGCACAGGGAACACTTTACCTCGTGTTTTTAGCCTGAAGCTCCATGCATGCACCTACAGAGGACGGCCCCAAATTTGTCCACTGATAGAAAATTCTGCTGCAAATCAACACATTTTTAAGCAAAAATATTATTTATATCTTTTCAAATGTAGGTTTTTTCTGCCCCTAACTGCCCCCTGGCCATTTTCAACTCAGTGATGTGCTGTGGGATTCTAATAAATTAAAATTACAAACATCCCTTATTCTGTACTCTATACCGATCTGCGTGCCGACTTTTGAATGTAAGCTGGGACGGTTTCCATCAGCGCAGACCAATTCAGACACAGAACAGTTTGACAGGTGGCCTGTTATTATACCCGCTGATAGAGGCCACTTCTGACTGCCAAGTAGAAAATAGCAACACGCACGTGTCTCCAATTGAGCGGTTGGACCACGCAAAAATAACCACGCACGTCGTAATCCAACTTCTTGTTAGAAAGCACGGCTTAACATGACCGCATGCTGTCTCCGCGTGAAGGGGCCTCCCCCTTGCCTTGATTTCCTGGAGCTTCCGTCAAAGGGACCATCGCAGACGATGAAGGTTTGTATGAGTGATGCATACAGGTTTGAAAAACATAGTGTATTCGTGCTCATCTATCAGCACACTTTGTGTATCTGTATGTTCACTTCGGAGCTTGTGTGTTTGGAACTGGAAGGGAGCTTACGTTTAAAGTTTTCCAACAACCAGTATTTCAATTTTGTTTCTGTCCACTGCTCAGCCGACAGCTGAGGAGGGACTTTCATAGTGACGGCGGAGAGGGAAATGGGAGCAAAGCTCTGAGCAAATAAACCACGTCATCGAAACACCTGCTTCGCTGCCTTTTGGGTTCCATGGGAGAAAACGCACCGAGGTTGCACTTTAGCACGTAACTGCTCTGTTGGTTTGGCGTAGTCACCACAGACAACAATAGTCGAGTGTCTCTCCGGGCATCACAATGTGTGGGTGGGTTTATTTAAGAACGTGGAAATATGATTATTTTACCTTCAGTTATCCGGCTTGAGCTGGCTGTTGGCCAAATGTTATGTAGTTTTACAAAGGTTGTGCTCTTTGTTTGTTACAATTGTAGGAATACCTCAATAAATGTAATAAAAATATAAAATATAACACAAAACAAATCAGTTTAAGGCAAAAAACTGATTAGTGACCCATGCATTAAAACATGCTTAAGATGTTTTATAATCTGCTTATAGCCCTTTATATTCAAAGTTACAACATTGAATAACAAAAAAACATGCTTTAGATAACATAGAATGCTTTTTTAAATAATCTGAACACAGTCATAGTTATATGAAGTATTTTACAAAGTCAACCATATTATACACAATCAAGAATACAATACTCCGGGTATTATAGTTCACATAATTTCAATGTATCACATGATATTTAAATACATTTTTACAATGTATTGTGATGTGAATATAAACTGCCCTAATTGGATAGGGTGTGTAAAGTTTGTAAAGTACACATTTAAGGAAGATAAGGTTTCGTATGTCGCATGGTTGTTAAGGGAACAGGATATTTTATACTTTACATAGAGTAACTGATTATAATGAAAAAACACCTATGGGAACTATGGTACACAATGATGCTTGCAAAACTACAGAAGTTATGAAATGAGTATGGTCCCTTTGAGTAATAATACAATATTTACAATGTGTTGTGATAATTGTTTTACCAATAGTACCAAATGTTCAAGAGAAAGTGAGTCGTATCAATGCCTCTTGGTACAATTCCTTCACCCTCTCCCTGACAAATAGCCACCCTGTCTGTCGGCATGGTGCACTCCTCTGAAGAAAGATGTATAGACTAGCAGATAAACTGGAATATCTACTAGATTAAGTACAACATTCCACCAGGCGTGGTTCTCATTGTCATCTGTAGCTGTTTCTCCCTGACTGACACTGGGAGAAGACTGTCCAAACACAATCTGCTTATGTACACCTCTGTAAACATACTGTCCCTCTATAATCTGAACTCAAAACCTAGGTGTGTATAAGCAATGCTGAGTGGTTATTTCTTTTACTGTCCTCCTTGAGTTTTAGTTAAACACACAAGATCAAATGTGTTATTCAGTGAGCTTTATAGAAGCAGGTGTATTTTGTCCTTTGGGAACAGGCCAACTGTTGAGTCAGTATGCTAAGCTAAGCTAGCCAGCTACAGACAGCAGTCATGTTTGGCATTCAGACAATACAGTGGTGTGACACCAAGGCCTGGTCTTAAATGTTTCATGAAGAATGTATTCCTTTTTTAATATATATTTGCTACTCAGATTACACATTGTAGTTTTTTGTGTTTAGTTCACCTGTTGCACATGAACTATTCCTTTACAGTCTATATGGAGGTTTAACAATGATAAAAGAGCTTTTCCCCAACAAAATGCACATATTCAAGTAGATTTGGCATAAGTGTGCGTACGTGTGTGTTGGCATATTTACATATGTCCGACCTTTGTGTCGTTTGCTTCTCACCACAATTCAGTCTCGCTGACCTCACATCCTGTTGCCTCAGGCATTTGACTGTTTTCACACGCTGGTGCAAAAACAGCAGCGTTTATAGCAACCTCCAGTGTTTGCCGCCAGCGTCTCAGTTACTGGAAATCCTGGGATTGAGTGGGTTTACTGTAATAGCACACCTGGCATAAACACACACACACAGTGAAAAAAAGAGCAACAACAGGGTGAGAAACAGGTTTATGACAACATTTTGCCATCCGCAAACCCTCGCAGCCCTGGCCCGGGACCAGACCACAGCGCCCTGACGTACAGAATGAAGCCGTCTACTGTCTCTCACCCATGTTACTCACTGCCCTCCCTGGCTCCTTGATTGGGGGAATCAGTGGGAACAGGCTGCTCCTCTTGAAGACACCCACCTGTGGCGCATCAAGAAGAAGAAGGAGGAGGAAGGGAGAAAGGGAGAAGGGGTAGGACTTTAACCCAACCCCGATGAGTCAGGCATTCGTGGTGCGGCCAGTGTCAAGCTGAGACATCGATGGGTTTTGGCTAAATGTGCCATTTGCAAATTTGGAGAAACCTCCAATCTGACAATGTCTACTGTAGGTAAAATATCTAGAGCTTTTCGGAGTGATGAGCCAATTGCAAACTATGTTCACTCTGGGAGGGAGGTCTTATGATTGTATTTGGTTCAGCCACCTTCACAAGAACAAAACATATAATCCTCAGCAGCTACCACCAAAATCATCAGTCTGGGATTTTCTTGCACATTTTCCTTGATAAATGAATATCTTAACCATTAAATGGTTCCACCATGAAAGGTTATCTTTACATTTTAGACTCTTGTTTTGCGCTCCGATTTCCAGCATAAAACACTCTTGGTAAATAAAACACTTTCCAAAGTTTGAAGGATGCATTTTGGCAACTTTTAGCTGCACAGTGAAGAGACTGGAAGAAAAGTGAAATTAAATTCAAATCATAAGTAAACAATGGTTGTTACTTTACAGTTACTTTAGATGTACTTGTGCCTGTTTCATTTTGCCCCTCAGCCAGGCACCACGGCTACCCAAAGCTGGGGAGACCATCCATGGTCAGAAGTTCTTTATAGGCTTCGGAGGGAAAGGGGCCAACCAGTGCATACAGGCGGCAAGACTGGGGGCCAAAACCGCCATGGTTTGCAAGGTAGGACGCTGGATCCAGTCTTTGTTGTAGTGTTTGTTGGGCGTGGATCCGAGCATGAATCTCTGCCATTCAGTTGAAAAGATTCACTCTTGCTTGCCCAACCTTTGGTTCAGCTACATCTCACCCAGTAAAAATAATCAGCTGTCAGCCACCACATACCACCAACTAGCTAAACGACTCCCGAAAACCTTATAGCTTCGTTCACACTTCAGCACATCAACTCTGCATGCTTCATTTTCTCTTGATCAATACTATACAGCATGCATACGCCCACCCACACTTGCGCGCCTTCAAACAGGCAAATTCCCATACCATACAACCCCGAGTCTCCAATCAGAAGGCTCAGCATGGCCTTTCAACCTGAACACTAAAGCACCGAAGCCCCACCTCTGTCAGAACAAAGAGGCCCGATCGATAACAACCCAGTGCGGGAGGAGCTCTCCGGGCATGGGGAGAACCCAAAAATAGACACCCGGTCTTGTCAAAAAACATCCAAGACGGAAGGCCACTCTTCAAAGAGAATGGGGCCAAGCAGCCAATACCAGCCCAACCCATTATCACAGACAGCTAGAAGTGCCCGTGTTTTGGCACGTTTTTTGGAGAGCGTGGGTTCGAAGTAGACGCCTTGGGGCAAGGTGGGGAACCCTTCCACAACCCAAAGTAGCTACAGATGTGGACATCCCTATGCGGATCAGGGGAAGAGGAGAGAAAGGAAACGAAGGCGAGGTTGGCATGAAGAGGCGTGAAGGCGGGGTTATCGTGTCTTCGAGGCTTGGCGCAGCTGGTTGTGTGTGTTTGCGCGTAAATGCGTTTGTTGACTTTTTGTGTTTGCACATTTTCGCCGGCGGCACCATGCCAGTAAGCCGGCAGGCCACACAAAGATCCAACCCAACTGAGGTTTGACTATACCACTTTTCAAAAAGTTGCCGCTAACCAAGTCTGACCCTGCTTGACACTCTCTTTGTTGTAATCGTTTTTTCTTTCAATCTTTTTTAGGTTGGTGAAGACTTCTTTGGAGACAATTACATTCACAATTTCAAAGACAATGGCGTACACACAGGTACAGTTGTTGTTTTTTGGTTTCAACATTTCTGGGTCGAATGATAGAAAGTTCACATACCGAGCAATGATTTCTTTATAATCTATATTTGTTAGTTCTTTTAGTTACTCGAGGCTCAAGGCCTCTCTGTTGTTATGGCCAATGGCAAAACATGGATTTGTGGAAACTTTCTGGGAAGTTTCTTTTCAAAAGTTATGTTCAACGCATAAATCCGACTTCTAAGGTCTGTCCCTTTCGTAGCTGAGAAACCGCGATGAGAGCCGAATGCACTCCAAGCAGTCAGAAGCGATTCGTTACTCTGGTGTTGAGCAGTTTGTCAGAGGAGTTTTCAATGAAAGGCAGGTAACGGGTGCTTCTTGTCTTCTCTCTCCATCTCAGACTTTGTAGGCCAGACCTCTGACGCAGCCACAGGAACTGCCTCCATTGTTGTCAACGATGCAGGTGAATGCTTCTGTCGCTCGGATCCTAAAAGCTCTTCTGAGTTGAAGTAACGGCCGTCATACACGTACAACCAAGGGTGCTAGCGGCACACTCTTTCTTACTAACGCACACATGCATGTGTACCAACGCATACAGTTGTTGCTCCACCGCTGTTTCAGTGACTATAATCCCTGGACACACTCACCAATACTTAATGCATCCAGCATGCTGAGGATCCACAGGTTCCAAAGTGGAGCAATCCGAGGTGTTCCACGTAGGCGAGCAATTTCTGTCCTGTAGCCAGTACAGTACATTGAAACGTATTATTTCTTTAAGTGACAAAAACAACATCCAAAGCAGAAAACTAAACCAATGGTTGTCCAAACTTAAGGGTTTCCGTGTTCTCAAGTGGGTTTATTTGATATTCTACATATTTACTATATGGAATGACAGTTTTGATGGAAGCTGGACTTTTGACGTCCCATGTGACACTGGACAGGCGAGAACGCCATCGTGATCGTGGCCGGTGCCAACATGCTGCTGGGCGTCGAGGAGCTGCAGGGAGCTCGTCCAGCCGTCAGTCGTGCAAAAGTTCTGGTGTGCCAGCTGGAGATCTGCCCGCAGACGTCCTTGCGGGCGCTACGCATGGCGCAGGAAAACAAAGGTCTGTGGGTGTCGCGTACTGGACGCCACGGTGAGGTGTTGGGAGAAAAGAGATAAAATAACCAACCGTGGTCTTCCAAGACTCCTTGTTTCACCATAGAAGTTACAGGTATACAGGTCAAGGCAGAACTTGTTTCAACTTTTTGATCATCTTAACGTGATACAACAACCAAAGTCTTTTTTGAAAAAATCACCCCATGTTGGCGGAATAGTAACCACACAATGTTTGAGAGCTGTGTGGATTCCTCTTGTTGCAATGGATCCGTGCAGCGACAACAGATGAAACAGTGTCAACTCTATGGAAACTTCTCTATCCAGTTCCATTCGTTATCCACCGCCATCTGTGTGCTCAGGATCCAAAACGTTATTATGTTTTGCCAAAATATGACTACATGCCTATTATTTCCCACTTGCACAACCCTGATGAGCATGCTCTTCTCTGGCCAAGCTTACTCATCCAGTAGCTTGACACAGTAGCCTCCCTTGGTTCTGTCTGATAGGTAGCTGATGGGGGTTAATGTCAGATGCATAGAGTATTTCAGAACTATTTAATCGCAGACGTGTTTTTCACGTGGTGATCCCATCCTGGTGAGCCTCGCTGGATTGTCTTAACACGCTCCCCTCCGCCTCTAATCAAAGGTTTTCTTGGTAAGACCGAGAAGCAATGATGCCTGAAGATGAGATGGTAACTTCTGCCTTGAGATCTCTTTTGTTTTCCTTTGCCATCCCAATTTCAACACTGTTGGGTGTACGCCCAAGCTGCAGAGCGTAATCACGTTGAATACCGTAGAGGACCAAATGATCTATCTTAATCACGTATAGGACTTTTCTGTTTGTAAGCCCTGTTTACACTGTCCTCCAATGAGCGGCCTCCCACTGACTCGTATCACTCACCACACACACCAAGCAAAGAGCGAGTTTGTTTGGTCCCTGTTAACTCACATTCTACGTCATCCACCACGTCTGCACAAACAGTAATAAAAGCTAACAGCATACAATGCCCATTTTGACATCACCCCCCCCCCACGTCCCTTACTCCAGCCACCTTTCTGGTGCTAACCAGGTTACTGAGCTTATCATCCCCAGCAGCGTCCTATTATTAGCGAGCGTCCGCGTCATTGGGTGCGTCTGGGGAGCCTCCCGCCCCTTGTCATCGGGGCCTGTCGCCTGGTAATCGCTCGCCGCAGGCTGCCAGAACTGAAAGTCGCAGCCACAACCGCGTTGCAGATGGGACGCCCAGATGGCCACGCCGAGGCCCCCCCCCCGCCCTTCCGTCACTACGTCGACCGCACCACGGGATCAGGCTCTGCATGTGGCACCAGGAGAGAGAGGCAGAGCGGGCAAAGACGCCTTGGCAAAGATGCCGCCTCGACGCTGCCGCCCAAGCTTATTGCGTAAATGGAGTTCTCCGGAGAGAACTGGGTGTTAATGGGTTTGGCGGCGGTGATATAATTTTAATGGCGCGGGGGTGAAGTGCCGCTCGAATTACGCAAATGTCACCATTGAGCCACACGCAGCACAGATGCCACCTCTCAGAAAAACCCTCACAGGATGAGTTTATTTTCCTCTACGTCTGAATCTTTGAGAGAGAAACCTATGCATATATGGATTTAATGCTATCTGCCATTTTATATTGAGGAGTTGAATGCAATTCTTTAATACTGATAAATGAGGAAATAGTGGTTGTGCAGTTACACGCTTCCGTCGTCCTCCCCTCCTTGTCTAAGCAAAAAGCCGCTTTTATATTTCTCACCAGATGCAATTAGAGCCCCTTAAAGCCCTTTCACACACTCACTTATGACTCATTTATTTTGTGTGTGTGTGTATTTGTGATTGCCTTGTTCCCCACCCTCCCGCCCTTGTTTTCCATCCTCCTTTCCTCCGAAATTGACCTTAGTAATTCTGTACTTTCCGAACTGTTTCGGCTGCTTCTTGCAGTCCACGCACGACCAGAACCTCTGTGCGAATATGAAAAAGCCCAGTCATGACACATGCACACACATTCTCCTGCCAGACATGACTCACATCCCAGTATTACCACATCTGTCCCAGTAGCTGTGTGTGTGTGCGTCTGTGTGAGATTGTGTGTGCAGTTTCACTAACACCTGGAGAGCAAAAAAAAAAAAAGCAACCTGATCACGGCGCACCGGTTACCGTGACGTCCACAGTAGCAGGTCCTTTGCATCGGAGAGTCCGATTACTTCATGAATCAGAGTATGAGGGATTTCACACAAGCTGCTCTGGTGCACATATTGATAAGCCTCCGTCCTCGGCAGTCCCTTTGTGTGCATACTTAATGATTGTCGGGGCCTGTGCATTGGACATCAGTGCCTGAATCATGCCGTTAATGATGAGGGAGCAGTGAGTGGAAGAGTGCCTCTGTGCTTCCCACCGCAGCTGACAGTCGACAGAGCAACGCACGAGTAAGCCTTTTTGAAGATTCAGGGATACTGTCTTCATCCTGTTCACACAGTATGCAGGACCGACTGATCAGTGTCTGTTAATGCTACCAAAGTGAAAGTAATCCCAATTAACAGTACAACTCAGCATCACATGTTTCAATATGCAGGCGAACGCCTCAGGAATGTTGGAGAAAAGTGCTGATTTGTGCTCCTGGGTTTAAGATAGGGATAGAGTTTTGTTCATATGTAAATAATAATAAACAGGCTTCTATCGGGAGGCATTCATCGAGATTCGTGGTTGTTCATGTTTCAGGATGCAGTTCCATTTTGCAAAAGAGGACACAATAGTTGTAGAAAGGAAACGTTCCTTAGGCAAGGAGAAAAAAACTAAATCTAAGCTTGTTGGAACAGATGTTTGAAATTAATTTAACTAACAAGAACCATAGAGCTCCATTGATCCTCCTTTGTTTTAATTAATTAGTGGGATTCCCCTGGTCCGCACCAGCTCTCAATCAGAGATAAGTGAGCCCTTTAAAAAGAAAATGTTTTACTGTTGTTAGAGGGTTGTTGTAAGTGGCAAGTTCATGACAGTACTTCCAGAGTTTACAACGTACCATGACTGCGCTGGCAAACACACGGCCCCTCACTGCTATTTGCTCATATTTTGATTTGCTAATATGGAGACTTTTGGCCTGAATTTCATCTCTTTCAACGCAAAAAAAACCCCGCTGATGTCCGAGCGTGGGTTCCAACGGAAACTTTAGGGTCTCCAGAGGATTGGAGGTTATTCAGAAAGGCTGTCTCCACCAGACATGCAGCGATCATGTCAGCAGTGACCGTAGCTGTGCAAAGGCATCGCCATGCTCGGCTCAAACTCTTTTATCCGTCTTATGAAGAATACACTTTATACGGATCAACACATTATTGGCCCTTAAAAGACGTTTAGTGACTGGGGCAGGTAGCAGGTTGCAAGTGATGCACAGTTTGTAACCAACCAACTGGTTCTGAACGGGGCGCCACTAACTGAGGGTAGATGGAAGGTATTGAGAAAGAGACCCATGTTTTGCCTTTGTCGGTAATAAGAACTGACTAGAATAATGACATGCTTATTATTATTATACCCTTTTACAGCATTTGGGGAGGAAGAGGAGGAGATGAGGGCCGCAAACAGCGAGGGGGGAAGACAGAGATCCCATTTCTTTTATGCAAAAACAGAGGCGTCACATTTCAGAGATCTCGCACTTGCCTTGGAAACCAAAGTGATGGAAACTGAGGTGCAATTCGGTCCAGAGAGAGAGAGGACAAAAAAGAGGAGGAGCAAGAAACGACCTTACATCAATTTTCCTTTGTGACACAGGCTTGTCTCATGTAGGGTATACAAACAGTATATGTGTGCGTGTCTGTGTGTGTGAGTTTAAAAAGAGAAAGAGAGAGACGCTATATCCACTTTTACTAGCGAGCACCCCGGCATCCACCTCAAAGCACCAGGTGGCCAAAGCCCTGCACAAACCCACGCAGCTGCTCTCTCATGTGCCCACGCAAACACACACACACACACACACACACACACACACAGCAACTAGGCACACTCTTCTGCAAAACAGACTTTGATGTCACCAACGTTGAACATATATTTCCCTCACACACACACACGCACACTCTCGCACACACTTGCACGAGGCTTTATTTTGTACACAGAGATATGAGAATGAATCGCTTCGTCAAGCTGGGCTTATCCTCACACATACACAGAAATCATGGTATTAGACGCATTAATGCCCTCTGCTCATGAATATGCACGAGACAGTGATGTGCAACCCGTACGGAGGATTACTTCTGACAAACACTCTTTCGCGCTCACCCTTTCTGGCGCGCAGAGAAAGGGTCACAACTCAGCTCACCCACACACTGACACGCATGTGCAGGGTTATACACACGCCATTTCCACCGGGGTTTGATATATTCTCCTCTTTTCCGGGAAACGCTAATTTAATCGTTTAAAAAAGTGTCCTTTTATTGAAGCTCATCCACTTGGGCGTCGCCTGAGAGAGAAATCCCCAGTGGCAGCCCACTGGTCTTTGTTCACACTGGAAGTTTAATTAAGGTATAGTGTCAGACCTTGACAGCAAAGCGTAGCAAATGGAAAGACAATTATGTGAATTTCTCAGCAAAGGGACATTGTCACAATTGTGTTCCTTAAAATGCAAGCTGGCAACTGTAACTGAGAACAATTGTGTTTTTTAAACGCCTGTTAATGATCGCCGTCATCCTGAGCATCCTGTAAATTGTAATGTTTTGCAATTCAGTCAATGAAATGAAATTGCCTCCCGGTTTCTTGTTGCAGTGAAGACAATATTCAACCCAGCGCCGGCCATCGCCGACTTGGATGCAGAATTCTACAGAGCCTCCGACGTGTTTTGCTGTAATGAGTCCGAGGTGATGAATCACACTCACACACAAATACACACATAGCACAGTTTTTGCCAGAGCAGAATTTATGCTTTCTCACACATTAACTCTTCGTCCTCAAGCATGTATACACAAAAATAAAACCGCTCCTACGCAACACAATTGTTGGTACTAAGTTCAGCAGCTTTCTGTTGTCGCACTGTTCTCACGCAGTTTACAGTGATTTATCTTTTGTTCAAAAAGACACTTAAATTGACATTTATTCTAAAAGGTTTATAGCTAGATGTGTGTAGAAAACGTTGAAATGAAGGAACAGCATTGTTTTGGCATTGCAGATTAGAAGTTGATGCGTTTATGGTCTCAATGGCTGGTTCTCCCAGAGCCATATTTACCAAATGCCTCTCTAGGGGCTTTAAAACAGCAGTCCACAAACCAGTGAGGGACGAGACAACGACTGCAGCCTTTTATTATGCTGATTTCAAGCAGTTCCCTTTTTATTATGACAAGAGAAAAGGCTTTCTAGGATGAGGAGTATGAGTCTGGTTAACCCATTGTGAGTAATGTGCTGGTCATTGAACTAACCTGTAACACCACCAGCCGACCTAAATAAATTGCGGGCTCTACTAGTAGTAAGCCAGCCGTACATACTAACTTTTCTTTCCGGCTAATGCTTGAAATAAAGACACAACCTTTGTCTTAGCAAATAGCAAACCCAAGTCCCGATTGTTCCATTCAACAGAAGCTGCTATTTGGATGTATTGATGCTTGTTGAACAGAAACATTGGAGGACCTGTCGGGTAGTTAGAAATATATCTTTTCATCTTCTCCATAAAAGCAAATGCATCAGTAGGTGTGCAATGTTAACGCGCGCCCACACATACGCACACATTTTCACAGAGATTACACTGGGTTATGACCCCTGCCGGAACATCAATAGCCCCACTGTAGCCTCTAGCCACACCTCTGGTATGTCGGGGCGGCATCTCTCCACCTTTTTACAGCTCTCAAACATTGTGTGGCTCCTTGTGTCTCGACCGTCAGGTGATGACAGACGAGCGACGGGTAAGAGGGCGAGGGGGGCAGGGTCGGATGTGAATGGTAGTAAAAGACATCAAGGCAGATGTGTTCTTTGGCTCAGTCAGCCACCCGCTCGGGGGTAAAGTGGAGTGAAGTGGTGCTAGTTTGCACCGGGAGTCTGTATTTCATGTGGTGATGCAGAGCGGAGAGTAGCTTAGCCAGGTGTGGGGACATGAAAGGGAGAGTTGACGAAAGCGCCAACAGTGCCAGGTCACGGAGGTACGGTCGTGGTATGTGTTGGCAAGAGCAGTAAAATATCCCAATCCCAGATTAGCACATATACAAAATGACTGTAATGGTGACCCATTCTTCCCACCTATGCCTACACCCACCGTGTCGACAGCTTTCTGCTGCATATGCTATGTGCAGTACGTGTGTGAGATAAGCACACACACGTCGTGAGAGACAGAACTCAACTTTCTCATATCGGTGTAAACAGAGGGAGGTAGATTGATTCCCTGCCCCGGTGCGAAGCTGATGACTAACAAAACGGCTCTTTTTTTGTTTTTTCTCTCTTGGCATCCGACAGCAGCGGGGTGCGCTGCGGGCTCTGCACACACGGGTTATGCTTCAACTGTCCAAGGTCATTGTTTACTTTGACGGATCACAAAAGGGGGGCGGGAGGGTGTCTGATACTTAGACCCCTATTCAACACAAGCGGGAGTCGGGCTGTGCCCCCTGTGGGGGTCATGGCTGGCACACCTTCCGTACAGGTGTGTGAGGGTGGTCTCACAAGCTCAAGCTGAAGAGGGGGGGAGGTAGGGGGATGACAAAGTTCAAGTAGTCTTTGATCCTCAGCCCACATTCTCCGCTCAAGTTCTTCATAGTGAGGGGAATTATGTTTGATGTCCGGGCCGCCTGCCCGAATGGAACCATGTCGCTATCCTGCACAGATCAGACAGGGATCATACACGCTTGTTTTGATGAGCGCGTTAAGAGACCAGCTCCTGTGTTTCCCTACTGCCAGTATTCATAGACGGGACAATTTCAGACGTGTAGTTGCTGCAGCAGATCAAAGGAGACGTCTGCCCTAAAGTGGATTTCACAGTGTGTTTCAATCTATTTCTTTTTTTTTTGTTCACAGGAGCAGTAATCAAATTACTTTTTTTTGCCTGTGGTTTTGTGTTTTATCTTGCTGAAATGTATTTATTATCATTCAGTTATCAATTATTATTAGAATTATTGTTTATAGCATAAATTGTCTTTCTTATGTATAAGTGTAATCTATTTTTTGATTTGTGCAATACAACAATGATTTTTGGAACAGATGTTACAGATGGTATAACAAATTTATAAGATTTACAGTTTCAACTTCTACACGTTGAACCTAAACTAAAACTAAGGAATAAAGACTATAGTTAGGTGTATCCTGTGAGCCAAAAGAAAATAAATTGACCAAGTATGGAAGGAATGGGTTAACGTCATTGTTTGGATTTCAGATAAGAGAACTTAGATGCTGAGAAGAGAGATCTTAAGATGCTGTATTAAATTCCTTTGAAATGCAATCATTGGAGATACCCTAACAATAACACAAGGAAACAAAATTATTAAATTATTAAAATAATAGGAATAAATCATAAAATGGTGAAAGATGAAAAACGATACATAGCAGTATATCACATTTTTTTAGATCAATTTTCAGCTACAATTTGCAAAGCTTTTAATGCAAAATAGTTCACTCCTAATTAGGCTCTCAATGTATCCAGATTGTGCACAAAATAAAACAGAATCAATTTAATAAAATATCACACATTAGGTTTATCGGTTTTTAGGAAAGGAAACAAGACACAAATTATATTTATAATATGATATATATATTTTTCTGTTCTGGATTAACCATGGACCTTTATTATTTAGAGCTCCACAGCAATGCACACTGAAATGTAAATGAGCTGTGTGCATTTCTATGAATAAGGAGAATAATTTAGCACATCAAAACATGTGAAAACTGAGCCGGAGTAAATGGATAGTCAGTTGCCCCCCTTGCAAATAAAATAAAAAGAATACAAATGAGAAATATTTGTTGTTTTTAATACATTATTATACAGTATTTTAGTTTCACAGGGTTTGGCGTGACATAAATGGTGTATCCCATAATTTTCTCTCAGTCATGCTTGCTGGCTCATCTCTATTAAAGGTGTTACTTACTCTGAAGAGAACCTCTGTGATTCTCCAGTTTGCATTGAAGATCCCTCAAACATCAGCCAAGGGCTCCTGCTTTGTCAGTGTCAAGTCATCTGGAGCCAGATGGACCGGCGTGGTCAGCGACTCTTTGTAAATGTTTGGCCCACAGACGGATCCATCGAAGCCTCAACACAACGTGTTGGAGTCCGTCGGACTACAGTTGGTGTGTAATTAAGAGCGGACTCATCACAGGGCTGTTAATTCAAGACAGTGAACTAAAGCTAATAGGCTAAAGACTTGTGTTTGACTATTCATTTGCGATCCTTGGACATGGTCATTTTTTTTAGTTAATTGGTTTTTTAAGGCACAAGTCTCTAAAATGCATTCTCCTGGTATCCCACTATGCTGCTGGTTTGGATTAATCTAGCTGCCTGACCCAGAAGCAAAGAGTTCCGATCCTAATAAGCACCTGTGTGTGCTCTAGATGTGATTACACAGAATAGTTTGTCTTTAGTGTCTTACCTGTGCTCCTGTGGTCTCAATACAGGCGGAGCTGCTGACTGGTTCCTCGGTGGCTAACGTGGAGGAAGCACATCAGGCCGGCCAGCAGCTGCTGAAGCGTGGCTGTGGTTCAGTCATCATCACTTTGGGACCCCAAGGCTGTGTGGTTGTCAAGGCACAGGGGTTGACCTCAACACATGTTCAAACTACCGCTTGTGCAACTGTGGACACTACGGTGAGCGTGACATGATACATGTTGGGATACTTTTTGCTTTGAAAGATGCCATACGGTAGTGTAATATGCACATCATCAGGTTTCACGCTAGCGACGTGGCCTTAGGGATCGCCACGGCAAGTTCAGGAATTTTAACAATTTTGACCATTTTTTCTTTGCAAAGGTTTTTTTTGCAAAAGCATATAACAGGGAACTTTAATTTAATTGAGAATGAGAACAAGACTGTGCAAGACTCGACCCTAGATGCAGCTTGTTGAAAACGAGAAAACATAAACACAAAACGTTGGGTTGTTTCTGAACGTCTTTGTCATTACCAAGCCATATTTATACCGAGTTTATTTGTATTCAGTAAATTAGTGGGAGTAGGATGTATGTATATCCACACTGAAGTATATCATCAGCCCATTATTCCCGGCTGTTGGAGTCCATCACAAAGTCGAGTTGGGTGATTTATCATTAATAAAAGTAATTACAAATAAAAGGCTGAGCAATAAAAACTTAATTTTGAAAGATGTATGGAATGCAGCACACCTCCAAATGGATTAAGTCGAAAATGTCATTTAAAAAAAAAATATATATATATATATATATATATAGAATATTACAAACATTTAAATTCAATACAAAACAATAATCTTATGCCATCTTTTTGTAATACTTAAAATTCACAATATATAATTGTTAATGATCATAGAATCATTTAAATGTGATAATTATTTGAAGATGGTTTAAAAAATTGAAAAAGGTCCCCTTTTTCAATTGACTGATGGGAAGGCTGACGGCACTCACGGTGTTAGTGAAAAAGGAAAATGTTTTAAATGGAAAATTATTTTAACCTGCCCATCTCTCATTGAAGGGAACATCTTAGAAATAGATATTTTTGCAATAACAAAGGAACATATTTCTCCTCATAACAAAACGTTGTCACAAGGAACCTTTTGACTAGGGTGCTGCGATCTTTGTGTCGCTGAATCGGAATGCTTCCACAACACGGTGGATGTGGTGACCAGCGGCTGTTTCCCCTCCTCAAAGGAGGATTTGAATCTTTTAAAAGAGTTGACTCATTTCACAACGGCCTCTGCGGCTTGTCTTTGTCACAGAAAAGCCTCGGCTTGAAGTTTGCGTTTCCTGTCCCTTGAGTTGATGCTTTTTTGTGGGGCCGAACGACGTCATCACACCGAGCGGTTAATCACAACTTACGCTGGCTACCCGGTTTGATTAAAAATCGCTTTAAGTGGGTAATGGATTATTTTACTGAATGGTTCCGCTCTGGACTTTTTATCGTCTCTGATGTCTTTTCGTCTTCCATCATTGTAAAAACTGGAGGAAAACAATTCTATGCTCCGCACTCTTAGTTTTTACATGAAAGCCGCATGAGACATTGCAGAGGTTGGGGAAAAAGCAGAGGAGACAACCGGTAAAGACGGTGAGTGTTGAATGTGTGTGTGTGTGTGTGTGTGTGTGTCTCCAGAGCCACTTCAGCTGAACTACACAGCAGGGTCTCACTTTGGCTTCAGATACTAAAGGATTCGCCTCCCTGTGACCTTCCCGAGCGTGCCCCCCCCCTCCGCAACACATTTCAGAGTGGACACACATCGCCAGCCTCATTCACCTCCCCGGCAGCCCCCCAGCAGCACTTAACCGCCACCCCTGCCCTTCCCCCTCCGCCCCTCCCGTGACTCACCTCCCGGGCTTGCATCAGTCAGCAGAAAGCTGTGGTGGGGCCTGCTGCGTGTCCCCCACCCCCTCGGTTCTTTGAAGGGCCCATAAATTCTGAAGTGTTTAACTCTTTTGGACATCATAATCCTCTCTTCCAGTAAGGCCCTTTCTTTCTTTTTTTTACTGGAGAGAGAGGGGGGGGGCAGGTTGTTATCAAGACAATTTCCCAACTCTGTGTGCTCGTTCTGGCAACACCTCTCAAGTTACTCACTGCTTTGATCGCCTTTTCTACCGCGCCAGCTCGGTAGAAAGCTCGGCTCAGCGACATGGCGAAACCGTTTAGCTTGCACCCTGCAACAACAAAGTAGATCCTCTACTGTGGGGCTGTTCTCTTCCCCTTTCATCCATTTGTCTCCCTTTTGTCTTAAATTGAGTTCAGGCTTCACTTGCTGAGAGTGTGTGGGATTGGACGGTTAGGAGAGGGTATAACGCGCGCACACAGACACACACACACACACACACACACACACACAAACACACACACACGTGCAGGCAGCGCCTGTTAGACAGCGGGACTTGGGTGGCCTTGGTTTCACTGCCCCGGGCGGTCCCCTCTGGAGGACGAAGTAAGGCAGACAGTGGTGACCAAGCCAGACATTACAGCTCGGTCTGTACGGTCCAAGTCTGCTCCTGTGACTGCAGACGTGCAAGAACCAAATGCTTGGTTCTTTCCCAGAAGCCCAAAGGTGAGGTGGTTTTAATGAACTGCACATACCAAAGCAGCTGCTGTTTGGTAACACAGATGTTAGGCCTGGTCCTCAAGTCCTCAATCACAGACAAGAGTACAGAAGAAGACATAGACAAAGCGCCCTGATTGGTCCAATTAAATGCCTTTCTGATCTCTGTATGGTTTCCCTGTAGCTGATTCAGACAACTCTTCCCCTGCTGTTCGCAAAGTCCCTCTTTAGTCACCCGCTGCCCGTCAGTTGGTGTTTGCTCTCCCCTGGGACGCCTTTCATCGACCGCATCGGTAGGCCGCAGGCTTCGGGAGTTAACATGGGAGTCAGAGTCCCAGGAGGCCTCCGGGTGACAAATCACAGCCACAGCTTTTCAGGGGCTCAGGAGATTTAGCAGGCAGATTGATGAAATAAAATAGATCCAAATTTTCCCCGTGTTTTTTGTCTCTGCCGCCGAGCGCTCGTGGCTGTGGGGTTTCTGCGCTGCACTTGCCAAAGATCACTTCTCAATCCCAGCCTGGGGGTGCTGTCGTCATCTTTTGTCCTCAGGCTTTTTAGCGTTGACGAACTTGTGAGTTTCTGTGTGCGCTTCTTTTGTTTGTCTGCACAGCCGCGGAGACTATTGCTGCTTGCGTTTCTGTCATTTTTCTTCTAAACACGTGCCACTAAAGCTGTTGTCAGAAGAATAAAAAAAAAGGTCCCCTAGTAAAAAAATGAATGTCTCATGCAGAGTTCCAAGCAAAAGGAAAGCTTTCGATCTCTACTGGCTCGTGCTTGTTGTGTTAAACCAACCCAACTTTTTAGGCGGGGGAAGAAATAATGCTTCTGATCAATTGAATCAAACTGAACTAGAAGCCGTACATGCCAGTGCTATCTTTTTGGAAGTTGTTGAATTTGCACAGAGCAAACAGTTCAGCATCTCTCTGATGGGTTGCTACTGCAGAGAACTTAATTTGGTGAGCCTCTCACCTGCCGTTTCGATTCCTAACTCCCGTCTGAGTACCAGAGGGGAAGAGGCGGTGGAACGGCGCGGAGGTCAAGAAGCGGCGGACGGAGCCGATCCGGCAAGAGCATCACAGTTCGTCCACGGCAAGCGCTTGTGTCACTTGATTGACAGGCCCCCAGATCTAACCTTCAACAAACTGTGTCGAGGGCAGCGGTGGTGGGGGCTGAAGGGGGTAGCGCTTGTCAGCCTCGTTGAGCTTCATCCACTGGATCCGGTAGCGTCACATGCCAGTCTCAGCGGAGGAGACGTTAGTAAGATAGAGAGAAAGGGCGGAGGGGGGCCCTGCGCAGTCAAGTGGCCTGAGGTTCAGAGCGGGTACCTGAGGACTTGGTACTTCTGATGGACAAATGGCGTAATAATGTATTCTATAGGCAACCTTGCCAACGTGTTCACCAAATCAGTGGATGTGATATGTTGCCCCCACGTACTGGAAACCAGCCTATGCAGCATGTTCAAAGTATGAATTGTGCCTTATAATTATTTTGTCAAATTATAGTCTATATTCACAAATTAATCATTTTTTTCGCTGTAATACTTGCCAGGCTTTTAGTTGAGGACATTTTTCCAAAACATTGCACCTCATAAATCTGCATCTTTTTGTGGCTTGTTTGAGCAGGAATAGACACAAAATGACTGTATGCATACATATATAGCAGAAATTTAATTAAACTTAAATGATATAACTGTAAATAACATACTTGGAAATTGCATTAAAATGTCACCGTTCTAAAAAGCCTTCTGGTAATATATTCAAATAGATTATTAGGTTTTCATAGTAAGATCATTAAATATTCAGTTGAGGTTAAACGTTACATCCTTTTTTTCGCCTCTTGTATACAGACCCAATTCAAGCACAAACAAGTTATGACTATTACCCAGCTCAGCCCTTAATGCTGGTATTAGCCATACTGCAGTGGTTATGGGTTTCCAAGCATCAACCTCACCAGTCATCGGTGCAAACTGGGAGACGGGCCAGAACCAAACCGGTTGGGCGGCCCCGAAGCCTTATTCCCGGCGGTGGCCTTGCATTGTGGGCCGGCGCAGACAGGAGACATAAACACACCGTGGCTTTAGACGTGGAAATGCACCAGGCCTGTCAAATGTTTCGGCTCTGATCCCACTCTCTCCAGCGTCTCCCCGGGAGTCACAGCAGTTGCGTGGGACGGGGGTGCAATAATGGCCTTGGAAATGTCAAATCTGAGCACTCGTTTTCCTCCCTACATTGCTCCTATCCATCGCCTGGTTGAACATAGGCTGCCTTGAATGATTCCAGTTTCGGAACGTGTTGTCGCGTCCCCCATCTGCCCCTGGCTATCTCGTTTGGCCCCTTTGTTTTCTGCATACCCTGGATCGGGGTCGTGGCTCTCCTTTTTTTTGGCCCCATGTCACTGAATCATCGCTCCACAGACGACCCTACCCCCGACTTAAAGGGTTACGTTTGTAGAGGTGCAGAGAGGACGCAAAGAACTCGATTGAGAGGCGCAGCAATTAGTAATGCAGCGGGCTTGTGAGAACCAGCATCGGGGGGAGGGGGGGGCGACGTGTCGCCACATACCGTTGTGCATCTTCCCATCAACGGGATCCTCCTCCCTCCATCACGTTCCAGCCAACCACACTACCCCCTCGGAAGTCGAAGGCACATTCCTCCATTCCAACGGTTTATCCATTTAAACAGAGTAATAATTGACAATTAATAAAAGAAGCAATGTGCCTTTCAGGTGACTGAAACTCAGTGAGGATTTCTGTGGGTTTGTGTTCCTCGTCCAAAAAATTGAAATGTCTAATTTGTCCTTAGCAACCATTTGGGTTGTTGTGTTTTGAAACATCATTTAAACAGATAATGCATTGAAGACTTAGTTTGTTTTTCGTTAAAAGTACTCTAAATATTAAAGGACACATTCTGCTGGCTTTGTAGGAGGGCATGTAGGGCCTCTAGTACAGATGTTGCTCTGAATGAGACACTTTCACTTAAGACAACATTTCAGTAACATTGAAAAGGAAGAGACTTCAGGAAGGAACTCAGCCCAAATGCCATAGCACCCCCTACTGTTGACCACTTATTGAACAAAGACAAAAACATACTTTAAAAAAAGTAGTCTCAATCTGTACATTTACCTTGTTCTTAAACTCAAAATCAGTATGAACCATTTTCCAATGGTAACGTTCGGGCTTGTCACAATGTTTGTTGGAATCAGAATCAGGATTCTGCAGTCGTTCACAGCTGCAGCGTTACAGTGGAACGGCTTGAACTACAGGTGGAATCTAATCAAGCGTTTATGTAATGCTGTTTCTTCTCAGGGTGCTGGAGACAGTTTTATTGGAGCGCTGGCATTTTACACGGCTCATTATCCCACAATGCCTCTGGAGGAGATGGCCAGCAGAGCCAATCGGGTGGCAGCAGTGAGCGTGCAGGCTGTTGGCACGCAGTCGTCTTACCCCTTCAGAAGGGACCTACCAGCTGAGCTGTTCTGAGAGCAGCAAAGCAACGAGCAGACGCCCGCGATCCCAGAGTGGCTCTCCAGGACACGAACACAACGGTCTTATGAAATGAACTGCTTCTGAGAAATCCCAGATTGAATAGAATCAAACTCGTGTGGATAGTTTATGGTTTAGTCAATGCTAGTTGAATAGAAAGCTGATCCCAATTTGACTGAAAATAAGACATTAATGGTGCCCATGCGGTCATGAGCATTCTTAGAGACAGTCTTGATGGTTTGAACGGTTTAATAATTAACAAACTGTTAGAATTATTACCCTTAAAATAAATTGTGTTTCACAACAGGTATCCAGTTTAAATACAAGTTGGAACAGTTGACTGAAGCAACAACAATAACGATGCGGCAAGTGTCACGTCGTTCTGGGGCAGTGGGCAGAGTAGAGGCCTTATTTTGTAGATCACAGTAGAAATCGCCTCAAGTAGCCAAACAGAAGCGTTGAATGGAACGGCTTGTATAATCCTTGCCAAAAAAAAAAAGGTTCAAACTGAGCCGGTATTTGTCCATGTACTTTGGTCCATTGTCATATTGATTTGATCTTCCTCTTTTCAAAAAACAAAACGTGCTTGTTCACTGCAAAGACAAAAGAGTCGACTTTAAATTCAATTCTAGATCCTGGACACAATATATACCATGAAGATTGTGTGCATGCGACTGATGTGATTTAGGAAGGAAAATATTAAGACTACAAATAAATATTTTTGAAAGATTCATGGTACATGTTTGATTTATGACATTTACTTAAGTTTATTGTATACACAAAGATTATCAAAGAGTTTCCTACTTTAGTGTTTTTCCCCACTAAACATTTACACCATACAAAAAATGAATGAATACCCATCGACCCAACAGTCTGAAAATAGACATTTCAAATATCAACTTGTCTGTATGTTACATTGAATTTGGATAATGAGTTACGAGCACCAGAGTAGTAGCAGTATTTCCCATCTCTGCAAAAGTAAAACCAGACATGTGTTTCTCAACGTTGTCATAGAGACCTGTCACAGTGATTCGTTTGAAAGAAAGTTTCCTGCTACAGGACAGACGTGCACACGTGTCTCTGTTGACGTGTTGAGAGTCCAGGGCCCCGTTCCTCGTATGTGGTTCAACTAAGTTGATCAAATGTCCTATGAGCTTGATGATTAAAGTCAAGCTCTCTCGGTTTCTCTAAGGCTGATCAAACGATCTTGTTCATTCAAACCAGACGTCCGTCATCATGACAGTCACGCGTCACCGTCCTACTTCAAGAAGGGGGAAGAGTCGATCACCGAAACTATGATTTTCTAACAATACTACGGCAAATAAACTCAAAAGTTTAACGTAATTTTAGGAGTTGTTCCCGTGCTGATGTGAGGGTTTGGGGACAGAGGATGTAGCATGTGTACAAACCGTAAAGCCCTCTGAGGCTAATAGGCAATTTTGTGCTATACAAAATAAAATGAATATTCATGGGAAAATCCAACACCACCAGCGCTGCAAGGGCGAGACACGAAGCACCGCTAAATATCGCAGACAAGTTACATGCGTAAGTGTTGGGAAGCTGTTTAGGCTCATTTTAAGAGCGTCATCACCCCAAGAAATCTGATTCTATTTCCTTAAATGTGCCTGCTAGCAGTAGGCTTCATGGAATGCATCATCCAATATTAATAGTTAAATAAAAAAACTCAGCCCTCAAGCCTTTCAGAATAAGTAGATACAAACAAGGCCAAAGAGTATTGTATTTAGAGTTAGAATACGAATGTCTGACTATGTACATGGGCGGATCAGTATGAATGTATTATTCATAATCAGAAATTCAATTGAAGCAGTGAAACATCCAGAAGTTTCTTAAGCGCCAAATAAACTTTACATAGAGCACGGCATGCAGCGGCTTTCCAGATGTTCTCCACACCGCAACACTGCAAGCTTATCCAGCTAACTTAAGTTAGCCTGCACTGGAGCAGGTTCAAGTTCATGGGTGTGTTACTATGGTGATTTTGTATAACTTGCTTTGTGGAACCGACAAGCCTGACCTATGTAAAAATGATCCGGCTAATTTAGCCACGTACGAGGAACGGGGCCGTTTTAAATAACACGGTCGAAATCATGAACTGGTAAAATGACCGTGAACATGCGTTTGCTCCTATTGTTATTTTTCACACATTGCATCATGGAGCATTCATGTCTCACCAAATGGGTCATGTTTGCGCAGCACCATCTTCTCTCTGAGGCGGTTCCTCTTGGTGTTGAAGAAGTAGCCCGTCCCGGCTGCGCTCATCATCTGAACCAAGATGGTTCTGACACACAAGCACATTGAACATGTCAGCCGGCAGACAGCGGTCGCTATAACCTTCTCAGGGACACTAGCGAAGACACCGATAATGCATCATAACGTTACTATTTTCACTTACTTTGATTTCGCCTTGGCCACTGAAACATTAAAAAGAGCAGAGGATTAATAGAAAACTAGACAAACGGAACACATTTAACAGCAAGTAATATGGATAAGATAGTTAGCTCACTACTGTAACTCAAATGAACCACTGGTTAATATTACACAACCACGTTACGCAACATACGTATTTCACGACACTTGAAAGTTACGAGCATGCCACGTTAGCTAAAGGTTAACAACACTAACAGACAACATCTGCCACGAAGTTAGCTGACGTTAGCTAAGCTAAGGTTAGCAAACCGACATGCTACTTTTAGTTAGCAACGTTTAGACTCCACTGCTCACGCATGCAGCCGACTCTTTAAACAACGATATAAACTTAAATACCCACAATTTGCGGTGGTAAGAAACATATTGTTGCCTTTAAGCCACTAGACGCAGACAGCATTAAAACATAACAATATCTGCCAAGGTGAGACACATTGGGAAGGATGCACTTCCGGGTTGTCGATCATCACTTCCGGGTCGCCTTAAAGGAGAAGTTCATTAACAACACTTGTTTCTGACTCCAAGATCGAAACCCACAATATAGAATGAGGATCCTTTCACTCTTATATTGCCTGTTTTGATCGTTTATTGTCTTTTTCCCGTATTTTTTAATTTACAACCACTGAGCAAAATGACCCTTTCCCCGGCTGAAGGCAGTTCCTACAGCATTGTGTATCTGAAATGTAGACTGCCTGGTTAAGGGTTCAGGAGACATTGCAGAGAGTGAGTTTCTTAACACTAAAGCTACTTAAATCCTACGCTTAGACCATGAACAAGACTATGGTGATGATTGAGAGTCGAGGCAGGAAGATGTTGTTGTATTTTGGCTCCTAGAGCCAATAGAGGACTCTGTTTAAAAAAAAAATTAAACAGACAATGGGGCTCATCTTTCTTGTTGTTTTGTGGTACAATATCAGAGGTTATCATGAGAGCAAACAAGCACCTATTGAGAATGTAAGACCAAAATGGGCTCGTCAAATAACTCAGCGGAGGATGTGCCCATCATCTTTTTCCCTTTGCTATCAAACTGTCTCACTGTAACCGATGAGGTTTTTAATTTACACATCTTCATCTGATTGATTTACTGTAGATTTAGTCGGTTGAATAACAGAATTAAGAACAGCTTGCATTGTAAAAGATTATAATGTCACTTGTTGTTGCTGGTCATAACAACTCAGATTTCATTGGAGAACATATCCCCCCACTTAAAATACTAATGAATTGGTGACATAACAATAATGCCATTTTAGAAGGTCCCTTAACCCTGAGGACATTGTAAGATCCACTACCCCTCCCCCTACCTTCTTTGTTTTTAACTAATTGCATTATAATTTATTAAAATGTGTTTTTAGTTATAAAATAATCACTTAACTTTTCCACCTAACCGTTTTATTTATATATACAAGTAAATTTACATAAAATATCAATTTGAAGTTGGAAACAGTGCAAAAACGTATATCTCCACATTTAACAGGATGCTTTTCAAACCATTGTTGGTTCTATGTTGCCCAGTGTCTTTTTTGCTGTACTTCTGATGCTGCACCTCCTTCTATCTCCCTCTTTGTACCTTGCGCCGCTTTGGGGGACGCGGTTCGAATGCAACGCATGTCAAGTTCTCATGTCGGTTTCGCTTTGTTTTTTCCTCTCTTTTTCCCGTCATGGCTGTGTGCAAGGGTTGGTGAGGCTGGGCCCAAATACACCTCCACCTGCAGAAGAGCCAAACCTGTTTGATGGCAGAAAAATACAGCTCCTACAAAACAATAATATACAATATATATATATATATATATATATATATATATATATATATATATATATATATATATATATATATATTCTATATATTATCAATTCAATAATTATATATTATACTGCAAATATTCGGTCTGTATTAAGTTTTAATACAGTCTTTTTATTTGAACTACTCTTGGACCTGTTGTATTCTTTAGTCAGTTTTATAATTGTAGTGCCTCATTTTTACGTCACTTCTTATAGACCGTTCCACTAATCTTTTAGTAATTACGTAATTACTGCATTGCCACCGTACATAGAGAAGAAGAGAACCAACATAAAACCACTGAAGGCCGTTGGGTTACCATCGACCTTTTGGTTTATTTTGGTGTTTTCCGTCTCAATGCCAGAGACGAGTGGATAAGGAATAACGTCTTATTTCCTTCACAGCTTCCCTTCGTCAAAAGAAAGCAGATCCGATGCGACACTGAGGTCCCTCTAGTGCATAGATTAGACGAACACAAAAAAGGTGTGTGATTATGTGCTAATGAGCCTAAATGGAGTTGCATTGGTAAACCCGGTGGGGGGGAAGTCATGCATTAAAGCGGAAATCAACACAAATGTTATTGGACAGGCCCAGGAGCGCTGTAACCAGGCAGGGAGCAGCTGTCAGGATGTGAGTGGAGGAGCTTACGTCACCAAGGGATGATTCTGAGAAGGGGGCAGAGACCAGTAGCTCCAGCTTCAGCTCTCTTCCTCATCCTCCTCCTCCTCGTCTTCCTCCACCAGCCACCCCACCCACTCAGCACAGCCACTCCGGACGCTAGCTACTCTATTCTTCTCCCGCTTTATTGCACTTATGCTCTTCCCTCTGCATCCTGTTCTTTTCTATCACAACCTATGATGTCCCAGCTTCTGTTTCACTTATGTGCTATATTCTGTTTAAAAACTGAAGCTCAAGTTCTAATTGGCCAATGACCTTACAGTAAGACTATGGTGTCCCGATGTTTGGCAGTTTATTATAAGAAAACAACCAAGGGAACAAAAATGAAATTGGAGCAGAAATGTATTTATAAGTAAAGATCCAAGAGAGTTCAAGGACAGAACTCAAAACTTGTTCTGTAAATGCAGAATCAAATGCCTCTCTATAGTCACGATCTAAAGAATTCACATTCTGCTTCACCCAACAGGAAACAGGGCCAACTCAAAGATGTCATGCACTCGTCAGTCTACCTGACCTTTAAACGTTGAATAGGCACACGCTACTTTTGAAGACACTTACATTTTGACCCTGAAACACTCACCGTTTCTCAGATACTGTCTCCCTCGCTCCGTATAATTCTATACTTAGAATTATGATTTATACCTATGAAAGTCATTGAAGGACAAACATCAAATCGTACATTTTGATAGAATAAATAAAAAGTTGAATTACGTTAAAGTTCAACTTGACCATCTTCAGGCAAAAAATACTATCATTAACATTTCATGGCCAACAATAATTTGTGTACGGGATGTATATTGGAGCGGACAGAAGTTCACCAGGAGGGAAAATTATTTACATTAAATAGTTGATCCTTTTTTAAATGAAAAACAGAAATAAAGATAAATATAACAAATATTTTAGATGATGGATAAATCTTTATAACCAAATTGATATTAATAAAACATATTATTAAGCAGCATGCGCAGCTTGACAGCACACCTGCACTCACACCCGTACAAAGACACAGAACACCGCCTCCAAACAATCCGCAACTGGCACGTTATCAGCTGCCACAACACCGGTTTGCTGCTCTTTTGACCTAACAGCCGGATCACGAGACTCAGAGTCAGAGGCAACACTGGTTCACAACTCCGTAGCTTGCATCCGTTCAATGCTGATGAACTGTAAAACCTGTTTTATTCCCCTCCACCTCATGTCCGTATCTTTCCCACTGCCAACAAATAATCTGGTTTGATCCTTTAAAAAAGGAATACCCCGCTTAAAAGGACCAGAGGAATTGTCCAAAGATGATAGGGCTTAAGGGTTTGGACTTCATCATTAATGTAAAGACATGCATATTATTTAATGCTATGTAACAAATAATTTAAAACCCCTGAAAATCAAGTCAAAACTTAAAAGACTAAATCACTCTGATATAACCTAATATCATATATGCTCAGCTTCAATTCTGTATCTGTAGATGACTCCTCCTCGGAGCACCGTGAGGTGACCTCCGGGGACGACAGGCATGTCTTTCTACGCTGATGACATAATGCTGTTTGAGGCCATTCCACTCACTTTTTAACCGTGTTTAGATGTCAAGGGTCGGATGACACAAAACAGCTCTACCAAAAATACAAGCAAAATCTATTTAAGTATCAACTCACCTGAAAAATAAAGATCAAAATTTTCTGTTGTGGTGTTTATGTTCTTTTTATACTTTATTTGTAGTTTTAACATTTCTGAACATTGTCTTTGTTATTTCATTTCCTACTAACTAACCATTTGTAAATACCTTTGAGATATTGCTATAACCTCTATTGAAACAACATGAGTCATGGATTGATTGTTTGCATCTCAGTAGCAACAATAGCAGAACTATTTGTAAAATGGCCTGGTTTTAGTTTGATGAAACTTGTTTTGTAGAATTAAACCTGGAAAGACCTCGAAAATGTTAAATGTTTTTGATTGTCAATCAGGCCGGCGTAAAGGAGCTGATCAAAGGAGCATCCCTTGTAGAATGACATATGGTCTATTCTTGAGGGGAATCAGCTAAAATGATAGGCAGCATTTAAACAATTATCTTTACAGTATGTAGCCAAATAACTTGAAAATGGAACCAATGGCTTAAATGGCTTTTAGGGCCATTGGAATTAATGCCAATATGCTTTTTGCCTGGCATAATAACTTCTATGACCTCAAATAATTTTACTCTATCATAAATTGAAAGTGCAGCAATGGACACACTGATTTGTGTGTCTGTCATTAGCCACTTTGGGGATTCCAGCCTTGTCTTTAAAGTAATATTCCGATTCTTTAACCATTTTGGTTTCAATAAATTAATGGCAGAATCAAACATCTGAGTCTCGGCTCCTGGGTCCCGAAAATCAAAACAAACTGTTAATATGCACCAGTTTTAGCTGGTTAATTTCAGGAATTTTAGAATGTTTCATGCTGCTTTTACACAGAGTTCTTTACTAACATTTGAGTGCTGATCAAAGCGCTGTGGAAAAGCGTTTCCTCACATTCTGTCTGTATTTCATGATCAGTGAGGCTGTTCCAGAAAATGCTGCTTGATCACATGACACGCAAGTCTATGCTGGAGCTTTTCAAGCAACTTGCATGTTTATCTTACTGCAATATAGCTGTCCAAGATCATTTAGAATTTTCTCCCAGGGTGGATTTCTTCTGTCAGTGTGACCCAGATTTGACTGTTCATGTCCGGCTTGCAATGAGAAGATCTATTCTCTTGTTTACAAAACGCCAACAATCTAATTTTTGTTTTGTTCTTGTGTAAATCCAGTGAACAGCATTTGCATTTCAACATGCTTTGATAACAGCATTCTGTGTGCTGTTTATACAATTTGTATTATTATGGTCTTATGCAATGCTCGTTTGAAGTCATAGCTAGGACATGGACCAGACACAAACAATAAGAGCAGGAGGGTCTGAACTTGAATTGTCTCTCCGCTTGCGTAAACAGGAATGATTGTGTCAGTTATGATGTCACGCGCTGATGCATCAGGTTGCTATGGTTACACCAATGTGTGTGATCGTGGAGCCCATCACATTGGAAATCCACAGGAAACGGGCATGTGGGGGTGCACTTATGATCTGAGAAGCTGTATCTAGTCCATAAGGAATACATAACTTCATAATGTGTATATGAAATAAAGCACATGTTGGAGCACTTTCAGTGTTTCTCACTTTTTTCACAAAATACCACCATGAATGTATCTTCTCAAATCAGTAAGTTAGCCATCAAACCTTTTCCCAAAAAGTGGGACAAAATATTTTGTTCACACCAAAACATTCCTACTGCACTATAGTGAGCTCAGTCCTATAAATAGGCCTGCTTGATGAGTTTACAATAGCCTGCATCTGTACACAGTCATGCTGAAGACCTCAGCGTTGTTAAGAGTAATGTTATAAAACAGGCAGCAAGTGTGTCCTCCTCCCATCTGTTCTCTCTCCTCTGTCTCTATTTCTCTGTGTTCCATGACGCAAAGCCTGAGTGGGAGTGGACAAACCTTCTGCTCCCTGAGAGGACTGAGTGGGCCGACGCCATCCGCTCCGTGCGCAACAGAAACGGAGGCATAGATGGATGGGAAGGGGAGAAATTTGAACGGCACCAGTGGAAGCCTCAGAGAAGGTGATGATAATTGATGCAAAGAAGTAAATAATGGGGATGAATGGTGAATAGGAAAGGAGAGAGTGTCAGTACCGTGGGAGTGTCAGTACAGCTTGTCGAATGGGTTTGTTGGAAGGAGATGTGGAAGAGTGAGGAAATGTAGATAGAAAGAGAAGGGGTGGGGTTGGGGGGGGGGGGGGGGAGGGGATGAGATGCTAATAATGGGGAGATAAGGATGCGAGGGCGGAAGCAAGCGGAAGACAGACAGGAAAGGAATGGCTCGAAAAAAAAAACAGGAACCAGAATGATGATTCTCAGAACAAATGCATTTGAAATTGATGCCATGGCTGGGGGGTCCAGTCAATGGTATCATGGAGTTGCACATCACTATGCAAATGTGGCCAGTATTCAAAACAGTGTAATTCAGTTGATTAGATGATTAGTTGAATTAAAACCGCAGCATATTTTCGCTCATTTACGTAATGTTATACTCAATGTATTTAGGAATAATCCTCGGACTGTAATTGTCCAATCCCTCTCAGCATAAAGCCCTCTGACATAAATTTCTGGACATAGAAATACCATGAATTGATTTAAGCTAATTATTTGTGACCCGTGGGCATCGGCAGTAGTGTTTTAATGATTACAATGGATGAACAACGGTTAGCTGCAGATAGCATATTAGCTCTGGTAAAATGTAGAAAACGTTTATTTATTTCTGTTTGAGGCCAAACTCTAACAAATGTTCATAAAGAATTCATCAGTTTTAGCAAAACAAGTATGAATAACATTGATATTTGGAACACACCGTTTACCTTCTGAGTAATATGCATCGGCTAAAATATAACCAACAGTATTGAATGTCAGTGAGATAAAGTCCAGTAAACTCCAAGAATCTCTTTGAGTAAACAAACTTCCTTTTATATTTTTATTCTTCTCCCCTCATTAGTGCAGCACAAAAAAGAGCTTTAAAAAGCTGAAGTCAATAGAGCAAACATCTTAGCAAACATTTAAGCCATCTCACCAAATAAGAGCAACAGTATAATCCATTTGGAGTTGTGTACCACTTGATTAATGTAAGGGAATATTGACTTTTACAACTTTGTTGTGGTCTCCTCCCTAAAGAGACAAAATATTAGCTCTTTAGTTAAATGCTGTAATTAACTGTGGCTGGTATATAGTTAGTTCATCAGTCTTTAGTGTCTTGAAAGATGAACAAAATCAAAGGTCACATACCATTTTTTAAAATAAATTGAATTATTATGGTGTTTTCTTATTCACGTTATTGCCCAATATACAGTTATCTTTTTCAGACTAATATAAAAGGTTCCTGTAGAAACAACACTGTCATGAATGAATGTCCCTCATAGTGACCTCCATCTATTTCTAGATCCCTCCCTCTCCTCCCACCTTCTGCTGCTTCTTTTCAGTAATCCGTTGCCCCTCGTGGTCCATCGGTGGCTATTTTACACTTTGGCTAAATCAAGCTCTGAGGTAACAAGTGACACCTTCTGTTTCCATGCTTCCGGTCGCTAGGCAACGTCAGCAATTATGCCACTGCCAAGAGAGGGAGTAGAGGAAGTTGCACCCCGAGGCCCCTTGCCACCATTATTCTTGGCCGTGGCCACTCATGCTTCATCCCTCATCTCTAAGTGCAGTGCCCCCATACCAAGACAGTGACGAGAGCACGCGGCAGCATGCTGCGCTTCCTACTGCTCTCATTAAATCAGCTCTCTTGTGTTGCAGGAATGAATTTGTCTGCTGAGGACTTGCATGAGGGACTCGCACCAAAACACTCTACTGCCCTCTGTTGTTACCTTCGGTAAAATAATGAATAACTGAGTGGACGAACTGAAAAGTGCAAAAGAAAAAAAAAGGACCTTTATTATTGATTTCATCTTTAATTTTCAATGCAGTTTTACACAGTATGTCATCCATCCATTATGTAACAGAATGGCTCCATATCATATTAGAATAATGGAAAATGGTTAATGACAGAACCAACTGTCAGGAGCATTTTAATATCGAAGCAGAACCTGTTTTTTTTTTTTTTTTTTACATACAGGGACGTTTTTTAATCTGCATATTTGAGATCACCATCATAAAAATCAAATCAACTTTGTGATCTAAACACCTTAAAGGTACCTCTTGCTGATGAATAAAATGAATAAACTGTTGTTGTTTTGCATTTAATGGAAGCCATGTTTTTCTCGTCACAATATATTCTTTTGCCATTTTCCCTTTTGCCCATTGGAAACAGTAAAATGTTCACACACATTGTTATCAGAGATAATACTCTTTTACCAAAGAAAGACTTTGCATAATCAGACATTCAAGGGCTTTTTCACAAAGCACGGCCTAAACCAGCAATTGCAATTCTTAGCGGAGACATAGAAACACACACGCACACACACGCACACACACAATGGTCCTCTCTGTTAATGCAATCAGACAGATCAGAATTCCACACTAATTTGACTGCAAACCGAGTGCAGGACATGAATCCAGACTGTGTCGACAGAGAGAGATGCTCTAATTGCAATTCAGAGTGTCCCCACACAAGAGTGAACACAACCAATAATACTCAAATGGAAACATGATTGGGAGGAAAATGTGCTTCCAAAGGCCAGCAGGGCTTAAGGTTACATGTTATGGAAAAGGCTCACATGTATATTTAAACCCCCGGAGAGAGATTTCTACCAAGGTATTACTGAAGGTAAATATTAGCTTTCTTAGTCAAAACAGAGTAAAATAAACTGAAATCACAGAAGTAAACTGTAAAATGTTACTGTTCAGATATAGAAGAATAATTTTGTTCCTTATTTATAGTTTATGGAAAAGACCAAGAAGCTATCTTTAGCAACAGAGTCTCTATCAGCGGTATTACCTTGCGCAATTTGTATTGTTTCTTTAGCCATTCAGTTACTAAAACTAAGACTTAATTTCTTCGTACGATACATTCCTGCACTTTGTCATCCTTTTAAGCCGCTGTGCTACAGCATACAGGGACATTTCCTTCTGAAAAATCAATTTTTATAAAAAACTGCTGTTCTTAGAACATCTGGGAGTTCGTTTTGGGTCAACACATGGTGTTGCTTCTTGATTTGACATATGTTGCATTTTAATATATTATCAGTAGTCATTATCATATGTTGTGGTTTGAAATATGGCTTTGACGTATTTCGAAAAGATGTTCTTTGGGGTTTCTTGCAGAGAGTTTGAAGAGCAGATACATAACACTGCAGACTGGAAGCAGCCTAAATAAATGTAAATGCTTCAGTCTGTAAAACGACCCTTTCGCAGCTTCAGTTTGAAGACCAGTATTTCTGGCCAAGTCCACATTTTTACCTTTTAACATTGCACTATGCATTTGATATTTAAAATGTCGTAGAGCTTCTTTCAAATACCTTAAGGGAATTTATGTGCATATTCTGATTATATAGTTTGTTATATTGTATGAATCTGGTATATTTTCCCTCTAAGACTCTCCAAATGTTAGCTATTTTAAACAGTCATAATCCATATTTTTACTGGCTGTGCAAGGTGCATTGCTCCAGCGATAACCCAACGGTTTGTCTGTTGCTCGTTCCACCACTTTAATCCAGAGCGTTTCAGCAAAAGCGATTGCTACAATTTAGAAAAGACATTTGAGGCCCCCAGAAGATGAATCTCACAGTTTTGGTGATCTCTTGACGAGTACAATCATGAGGTTAAATGTTTGTTATTATTTGTTAATGGATAGACATTCAATTAAAGCTCATTGTGTTGAGAGTGTCAAAGACACTGAAACTACTCCATCACGGGGACAAATAAATAACTTAATACTTCTTAACACAGAATGAGCAAGTAACCTGAACAGGAAACTCATCTGTTGGCCAGCATAAATAACATTAAGATCAAAACAAACATGTCTTACTATGAAAGCTTACTCAACTAGGCTTAACACATTCACTATCTCAGTTACCGTGACTTACTCCAGAGAAGACTATGTATGCTCTGATTCTAATTTCTGATTCAGCATTTGAGAAAAAGCACCTTCGGAAGATAATGAATGAGTGACAACCAACCCGTGTGACGACCATTCCCGCTCCCCCCTACTGCTTTACATGTGGCACATATGAACTTGAGTTCCAAACTGATAGAAATATGCAGATTTGGTTGATTTCATTTGGTCATAGCTTCTATGACAGCTTCTATGCCCCAAATATGAATAGAAATATGCCTCTGCAGTGCAGAGACTGCAATTTTAAAAAACATGAATACCTTCCCTCCGCCAGGGAAATAAAAACATCCCAGGTCCAACTTTGTCACTAGCCATTCTTTCCTGTAAGGGTGTATTGCAAAGGGGCGAAGTGCACACTGTTGTGTAAACAAGACCTGTAAAGAAATGAAAGAGAGAGAGAGAGAGAGAAACAGGCGTTGTTTAAGCAAGCCTCGCTTTGTGCCGTAAAAATACATTTAAAGATCTGTGAGGAGAAAATAGCAGCACGGTAGACTAAAAGTAACATCTCCGCCACTGATGGCACCCACGCTTTCCGCCAGTGGGTCAGTGGGTGAGGGAAGAGTGGAGGGAAGTGGAGGCGAGAGGAGAGGCATGTGGCCGTATGCCGCTATCCAGGGGAGAGTGTGGGCGGCGTGGGCGGCAAGAGAGAGAAAGACAAGGACTTCCGAGGCCAAGTGGGCCGTGGTTCTGCTAAAAACAGACGCGATGACGTTCAGAGGTCAGCCGGCTGATTTGTCATCAGCTATTTCGACATTGTTAACAGCAACTGACGAGGGAGATGGAGAAGTGTTGACATCACTGGTGCATGCTCACATCCCTTTCTTGCCCCCGCATCCTTCAAATTGTGCAATCATCAAGGCCAGAGAAATCTAACGCTGTTTCCCGGATTTAAGGCTCTGCCATATTTGGTAGGCAGGACACTACAGCGCGTCTAGATGCTTGTGTCACAGCATCACCTTTAGGTGCTTTCTGGTCCTGCTGCTGAGTGGAGAGTGTCAACCGACCTCTCCTCTCCTCTGCTGTCCTCTGCTGTCTGACCTTTGAACTGTTCCCCTCTGAGTCATGACACACTTTCCATCCAAAGCTCATAAATAAACGATGAATTCCCCCGATTAGCCAACGATGAACTCTGAACACCTCATGGAATAACTGGGAATAAGTTTGACACAAAGGTAAAAGAACCTGGAGTAGTTTTGCGCCTATCCTCTCACGTGCACACAAACAAACACACACCCACGAAGGGAGAATGAGGGTAGAGTTTCTCACTGCCTGCTAATGACACTCCAGTGCCAATGTCATAGTCAAAGAGAGTGGGAGACTTTGTTAACACACATGTTTGCTGGCGTGTTTGGTAGCAGCGTGGATCCCCATGGTTGTAGTTTTTTCCCGTCTTGTCGTTAGTTATCCCCTCTGACATTGTAATGAACAGGGTCGATCTTACCACTATGTGATTCAGTGATAGAGTACCAGTGCCTAATAAATTAATTCGTTTTTTTTTTTCTTTAAATGTCACAGAAGAACAAACAAACACCTCTCACATCCCTCCCATGTGCAAACGCCTCTTAAGACGTAGGACCTGCTCAGACCTACACTCCACGTGGTCTGTGGCGTGTCTGGGAGTTACCAGCAGGCTGCTGCTTGCACTGTAGTGGGTAGCTTGCTGTGGCAGGCACTGGGAAACAAGAATCAGTTTTAAGACAAAGACAAGATTAAGAAGTAGAACAGATAGATGTTCAACAACTATAATATATACCCCAAAAGGACGTATGTGAATAAAACACTGAGATGAGTGCATCCATCCATCTTCAAAGCTGCGTATCCTGCATTCAGAGTTTTAGGGGGGCTGGAGTCAATCTTAGCTAACATCGGGCGAGAGATGGGGTACACCCTGGATTAGTTGCCACACAGACAAACAACCATTCATAATCACGGGAATTGAGGGCCTGAGGGAAGAAGCTGTTCCTGTCAGGTTCCTGTGGTTTGGGCCTAGAGTGCTCTGTAGCGCCTACCAGAGGGGAGGCATTGCAAAGGTTTGTGTCCAGAAAATGAAGGGTCTGCAGTCATCTTTTTTGCCGTTTTCCTTACTGTGGAAGTGTAGGAATCCAAGATGGAGGGCAGGATGGAACCACTTACACCACCTGCCTCCACCATTCCTACACAATGCTGTATGTCTTTGACTCCAGATATTTGTATCGATCCAATCTTATCCATGTACTGTAGTCTTCCTATGTACTGGATTGCTGCCCTCTTGTGGCCATGAAAAGAACACACAAAATAATTCAAGGAGCCTTTTAATCTATTTTGTAATTTGTCAAGGACCACACCTTGACATGTCCATGATGCCCCTTTTCTTATGTTGATTGGACATTATTAGAAAACACAATTTTGTATTTGTATTTTGATTCGAACTGAGCTTGACCTGGAGCCGAGCCACAGGTTGCCTGGAAAGTTAACCGGGTAGTTGACCGGAGATGTTAAGTGAGAACGCCGCTCCAACACAAACAAGTGAGCCGGAAGCTTTTTAAAGACATAGCATTCTGGCATGCATGTTTGACAAGGTAAGTCGAAACGATTAAGAAATCTTACTCTAGTTTAAGACCGTGGCTGTGTAATGAAATGCAGAATTTAGTGATCAGACAAGCGTTTTCTAAACCAAATCAAATTGAGACAACAAATGCTGCTACATTGGAGGAAATGCATGGAACATCTTAGAATAGCAAGCAGGGGTTGCAAAGAATGACATCATTGAAACTGGATGCCCCACTTACACCAATTATACCTGGCATGCGCTTCATCTTCACATCTCCCTCTCTCTGTCTCTGTCTCTCTAGTTTCAAGACAGAGTCTGGTTATTACTGGCTGTGGGAATGGCCAGAGTGAATGGACGTGATGCTCCCCAAATGTGCAGATGTTAAAAATGTCCCCCACAACATACACATATTCTTAGTATTTCTTTATGTATTTGCTTACTGGGGTAATGGCTCTTAATTCTAACATTGTAACGATTTTGCTCAGACCTGAGGATCTAAGAGAAGGTGCGAATTGATACTGATAGGACAATTTAGTTGAGAATATTTTACCTTTTACCTTTGACTCCAGTCTAATTGGCTGCTATTTGGAATAGCTAATCAAATGTAATACAATCAAATTTGATGCACTGGTGAAAAAAGCCAATCAGCAAAAAAACATTTATTCCACCTCAACTAATTTACTTGCTGAAATATTTTCATTGTGATTGTATATTTTCTGTCATGTGGATTAAAACTTTCCCACAACTAGGTAATGTACAGTTTGAGACCTTTATCCCAAGAGGGAGTAAATAACCTAATCTTACCTCATAAAAAGCATGGTCTGATTCATATTTATATAGTAGTATAGTAGTATAGTATATAATAGTTCCAATATACTATTTGCTTTTGTTGCATATGATCTAATAATTCATTTTGTGGAAAGTATTTCAATCATCTAATAAATTTCTGCTTTTCTTTATATCTGTCTACAGGTGCTGTGAAAAAGTCAGTTGATTAGCAATTAACTTAATCAAAAGGCGGGGCTACTTTTTAAATCACCCACATTTTTGGACATTCTTTTATCATATCAGAAATGATTATCCCGTCAGGAAAACAGGAAGAAAACAGACAAGATAATGTGGCTTTAACTCTCAGCACCTCCTCCTCCGGAGAGAAACGTGACGTCACTTGGCAGAGCAGCCAATCAGCGGGCGGCTCGCTGAGGCTGGAGGAGCAACTCCGTGCTGCTCGTGCAGGTGGCGTGCAATTGCGTGAGTGTATGTATGTGGGAGTGTGCGTCCCTGCGTGTCACCAACAAGTTGCTAATATTTTTTATTTAATTTCCTCCAAACGCATTTAGTATTTAGTATTGCGCTGCGGGAGTAAGCCGAGGCTGCGGCGAGTGAAGCATCTTTTCAGAGGAAATGAAAAAGACTTTCCACAACAACGGAACTCCGATGAAGTCGAAAATAACAAGTTTGCTCCGCGCAGCCTTTGAAAGCAAAGCCGCATCTCGACGAATGTCGGCGTGTCTTTCTGTGACAACAGCTAACAGGAGCTAAAGTGTCCCGCTGCTCGTGTCCTTGTCGTGGTCGGCAGTCAGAGTCCCGTGCGCCTTCTTTCTAAACGTGTCAGGCTCATGTTAAAACCTAACAGTCGTTGACAAGCAGTACGTGAGAGAGGGGACATGCTGAAGACACTGACCAAGAAGCTAAGAAGACACTCGCTCAACGAGATGCATCCTTTCCAACTGAAGGTGAGTTTGACTCGAGTCCCCTAACTACTGGAAACCACTGTCTCCTGTAGTATAACACTGTCTCCTGTAGCGTAACATTGTCTCCTGAAGTATAACACTGTCTCCTGAAGTATAACACTGTCTCCTGTAGCGTAACATTGTCTCCTGAAGTATAACACTGTCTCCTGAAGTATAACACTGTCTCCTGTAGCGTAACATTGTCTCCTGAAGTATAACACTGTCTCCTGTAGTGTAACACTGTCTCCTGAAGTATAACACTGTCTCCTGTAGTGTAACACTGTCTCCTGTAGTGTAACACTGTCTCCTGTAGTATAACACTGTCTCCTGCAGTATAACAATGTCTCCTGCAGTATAACAATGTCTCCTGCAGTATAACACTGTCTCCTGCAGTATAACAATGTCTCCTGCAGTATAACAATGTCTCCTGTAGTATAACAATGTCTCCTGCAGTATACCACTGTCTCCTGTAGTATAACAATGTCTCCTGTAGTGTAACGCTGTCTCCTGTAGTGTAACACTGTAGTGTAACACTGTCTCCTGTAGTGTAACACTGTAGTATAACACTGTCTCCTGTAGTGTAACACTGTAGTATAACACTGTCTCCTGTAGTGTAACACTGTCTCCTGTAGTGTAACACTGTACATTCTCCCCTGTAGTGTAACACAGTCTCCTGTAGTGTAACAATGTCTCCTGTAGTATAACACTGTCCCCTGTAGTGTAACACTGTCACCTGTAATGTGACGTCCTTCTGACCGCTCAGTCTGCAGAGACAGGCTGTCAGCGAGTCCCACCGCGTGGCCGCTACAGACAGGCTGCGTCCCGCTGGTCCACAGCGGGACTCTACTTCTGTCTTGTGATTCCTTCCTCTTGTGGGCCAGTTTTCTGCGCAGCTTAAATGAGCTCAGAGCCGATTGGGAGTTACAGTGAGCTCATTAACACTCCGTCCCTTTCTGTTTCACGCACGCAGCGCACGCACAAACACACTGTCTCACTCACACAGACCATGACACAGAGAACAGGAGGAACAGCCAGCCTCCTTGTCCTGATATTTCAAGCATGTGTTGCTTGCAGTCTTTTTTTTTTTTTTTTTAGCTTCCAAACACCTCGACCCTGTTCATTACAATGTCAGAGGGGATAACTAACGACAAGACGGGAAAAAACTACAACCATGGGGATCCACGCTGCTACCAAACACGCCAGCAAACATGTGTGTTAACAAAGTCTCCCACTCTCTTTGACTATGACATTGGCACTGGAGTGTCATTAGCAGGCAGTGAGAAACTCTACCCTCATTCTCCCTTCGTGGGTGTGTGTTTGTTTGTGTGCACGTGAGAGGATAGGCGCAAAACTACTCCAGGTTCTTATACAAAGATTATACAGAGAAAAGGCTGGAATTAGCTCTGTGTGTGTGTGTGTGTGGTGTGCAAGCAGGGAGCGAGGCATGCTTATTTAGACTTTTCTGTAAAGAACCTTATTGTCGGGGGCCATAAAACTGTCCCGACATCCACGTCTTTACCCTCCTGTTGCCCACTTGGATTTGCATAATGGCTCTTTGGGGGGGGGTCCAATTGTATCCACCATGGGTCACCAACTTGCTCCATCTACAACAATGTTGTGTGTGTGTGGGTGTCAACCGACTGCATGGTCGCATGGCAGCCATTTTGAGCAAAAGAGCTGACGGCGTTCAAAGGCCTCGTTTGGAGGGTGCAGGGCTAAAGTGTGCCGTCTCTGTTGTCTGCTTTTGTGTGTGTGTTGCTTTGCTCAGTGAAAAAGTTGCGTGTGTGTGTGACGGGGAGAAGGAATTGAGAATAGTAACTGGGCCCTGGTGCTCACAGACTGACTGCGTCACTGGTACCGCTTCCAAGGAATGATCAAGATAAAAAAAAGGACATGTATTTATTTTTTGAGACAGTTGCCAGTGTGCCTGCTTCAAAGACACGTGGTGTGGGAGGCACCTGCATCCACACGGTCCAATGGATCCATCTTGGATCAGCCCGCACATCAAGTTTTGAAGGTTATGAAGGAAACTCAAAGGATAAATCCACTTATATCAGTCTTGTGTTCAAGACTGAGACTGATTGTGATCAGGAATCAGGAAAAATGTATTACCAAAACATGTCAGACATACAAGGAATTTGACTTGGTGCGTAGCAGCAGACAGTGAGACAATGGACAACAAGACAGATAAGACAACATAGATAAATGACTGTATTGGTGAATGGGGCTCATTTGTGATGAATCTGTAACAGCGGCACAAGTTTGGGATTGGGGTCTTAAAATGATGTTGGCTCCCTTTTGTTTCTGATCATCAGTTCAATAACTTCAAAAACTGCAGGTGATCAAAACGGGGAGTTTAGCGATCCAACGTGCGAGCCCCGGACATTTTTTCCATCTTCTTTTAATGGTTGAATAGTCCTCGTCTTGGCAAGCAAATAGGTTTTTGGCGTGTCTCTTGTTTGAAAATGAACCACCAGCTTTTTTGATCTGGTTTAAAGACTCGGGCAAAAAAAAGGAAAGGTGCTGTTGGCCATCTGATTGTTTTTTCTGGAAGTCTGCTTGAGTAGCATAGTGTCCATCCTCAGGAAGATCAGTGTTCGAAGTGGGATTGCAAAAGGCGTCCAGTGCTCGCATTTTGTGAGGTAGAATTGTCGTTCTGGGGGATGGAGTTTGAGGATTAAAGCAGCATCATTATTTACAACACTGCACTTTTACTCGGTGTGTAAAGGTCCACAGCAGGTCCGTAGCTCCTGTTCCACATGCACTCCCCAGGGCTCACTTGGGGGCCGAGGGCTCAAACGACTATTTTGGGATAATCAACAAAAGGCCCATCTCATAGGCTACTTCTACTCGGCTCTGAGGAGGATCACCTGGACTGTGAGCTAGAGAAAAAGACCTCCTGCGGACCTCGGCTGGTGTGTTTTCATGAGACGGAGGGGTCCGTGTTGGCGAGGAAGTCCGGAGCAAAGCTGGTCCGTGTGCGTACGCTGTGACATCGGCGTGGATCCGGCTTAGCGAGCCGCTCAGCGATGTGAACGACAGACAAGGATTTCATTCAGACGTTTGTGACACACACGGTCTTTGTGTGCCATCTCATGCATGCACAAAAGCACTCTCACAACGTGCCGCAGCTCTAATCAGGCATGAAAATCCCTCACCTTTCGGCGAAATTCGCCGTTTTGAAACCAACTAGGTGACCTACGTGAATCGTGTAGATTCAATGAGTTTTTTGGGGGGGAGGGGGGTATTCATATTCAGTGAACTGCGAACAGGTGCGCGTGTCAGAAGGGAACGCGAGATTGAGTGAATTGCGAACAAGGTGAGTGATGGTTTCAATAATTTAAATATTTGCTGGTATATAAGTTAAGTATAAGTTAAGTTACCCAGTAGCTTTGTTGACATAGACTTAGCTAACGTTAGCTACAGCTTGATGAATTGAGTCATTTAACACAGCAGGAGAGGACGCGACGTTGGCCAGCTAGCTAAAGCTCACGTGGAAAATGATTAGTTAACACTACCGTTTTTGAGGAGGTAGATTTTGAGGTGAGGGGACTGACGAGGCAGAAGGTAAAGTGGTCCACCGTTCTATCAATAAGCAGACCTGCCAACCTGATACGCATTTTGACTTCAAAGTACGCTGGTACGATTTGTCACTCTAAACTACGCAAAAATTTGTCTAAAATTTATTTTAGACTAGTTGACCAGCACACATTATATGCAATGCAATATAATGCATGACGAGTATTTAATGACATGTCCCCTATTAGTTGTTGTCAATTCCCATCCCCCCCCTCGGCGGTACGCAAAAAATGATTCCTGGGACAAAACCACTTGAAAACCCCTAGAGGGGTAATTTCCGTCTCACCTTTTTCACCCTTGACCCGTTTTCATGCCTGTCTAATGATCTGTCTGTAATCACCGTCTTAATAGACACCGGTGTGAGACTCTTAACATCTAACATGGGTCAAAGAATGGTAACAAAAATCTAGCACAATATTGAGGAAGGAGGGTTTGTCATGATACAAAAATCATGACTTTAGTACCATTGTTGCCCTAAATATCCCTGATACTTACAATACGATACTAGAATTAAATACCTTAGACACCACATGACACTGGCATAATTATTTATATTATTAATAAATAGTGCCTGGCATATATGGAATTTGAATCTGAAATTTAACTCAAGTAATCGCGTAATTGTTTTATATTATATATTATAATATTATTGGTGTAACAGCAAGTTAACATGCAGTAAATACAGCTGTTTCCTTTTTTCTGAACAGCTACCAGAAGAAACATTTGTCTTCTATCAGGGAACAGCGTAGCGTGTTCAGTAGTAAGAGTTTACCGATGCAGTCTGTGAAGCCTGTGGATTACCGACTGGGATTCTCAGTCAAAGAAAGAAAAAACACTTTCAGTGACAGGACAAAATCAACTTAACATCGAGAAAGAAAACATTTGGAGGAAGGGAAACCCTTCCTCCAAATTTTTCTTGCGTCGGTTTGTCGACAGTTGGCCCGCATGCCGCACCCGAAGTAATTTGCCGAGGTTTGGCTCCACTAGTTGTTTGTGTAGCTCGTTGGCTGCATCAACGCTGTGTAACGCCTTCAAGTGCAGTGTTTCCCCTCCCATTATATCGATTTGCATGGTTAAATGTTTATGTTCGGTCATTGACCCCGACCGGTTTCGTCTCGGGTCGCGTACCACCCGGCTGAGTGGTGGTTGGTGTCACAGTGATAATGGTGGATCTGGGTGGCAAAGGAGGAAGGAAGTCGCTGCGAGTGGTGCCTTGTGGTGTAATGTGCAGGCCCGGAGCTGAGGCACGGCGTGATTACTTCACACTGTGACACAGCCTGAAACCCAAACTGGTCGCTTTGCGGCAATATCTGGCGCTTTGAAAACAAAATATCTTATCACGTGAATCGTATAGATCTGAAGAGTTCTGAGGTGGAGTGAGACAAGGAGAAAAGGTGATGTCCTCCTGATCTTTGTAATCATGTGACGTGTTGAGTCCAATCGGCATTAAGATCTTTGCAATGTCATTCTTTCACTTCAAATTGAAGTTACCGCGCCGATAATTAATTATTATTATCACCATACACGTTTCGGTACAATCTCTGAACTTAATCATGTCAGTTTAGAATCTTGGTCAGATCAGAAGACCGTAGTTATAAAAGCTGGAGGTTTCATCACACCACAGTGAATTAGGGGCGGCGGCCAAACATGGTTTGCCGCAATGTGGATCAAACTTCACCGAACCCAATATGTATGATAGATTATTCTACATTCTACATTCTCACTTTTTGGATTAAATTGAACTCTCCCCGTCATCACCTTTTTCACCCCTTATGAGTGTGCGAGTAGTGGAGAGGCCACGCAGTTACTGCACGGACAATGATGCCAATGACTGTGAAGACAAAGCAAAGCTGCTCGATCCAGCGTTTTAAAAGGGAAAATATGCAGGGTAATGAGCGATTGTCCTGAAGAGGTAAATGTCCTGCAGTTTAGTTGTGAACAGGACTCGAGGTTTCCAAACGATCCCTTCCTTCTTAGCGTACCGCGGAAGTGACTTTTAACCATGCTGCTTCACAGTGATTCACTGGTTAGCCGGTGTAGCCAAACCCCCGAGCGAACGGCTTGCCAAAATACATTTCCTTCCCACAGTTTTCCTTCGGTGTAATCTTTTCCGACGGATTTCACAAAGTGACGCTAGCTCGAGACTCCTCGAGAGCCAAAATTTTTTTTTGTTGCTATCTGTACTGGATCACAGGACGGGAACTGGGACTTTTTGCAGTGTTTTTTTTGCTTAGCCTTCTTTCATGATCTCTGATGTCATGAGACATACATTAAAAACAATTTGAATGTCTGAGCTCCAATGAAATGTTTTGTGTGTGTGTGTCAGAGAGGCGGACCGTTGACACTGTGTTAGTGTGGATACATGTGTGTAAGCACATGCACACAAGCACAGATGGCCACTCCTCAGCGAGGCCTCTGGGTGGTAATTACTTAACTGTTAGTGGTGTGGTCTGCAGGGTGTCTGTATCGTTGCTTGTGGTCTAGAATTAGATTTTAAAGAGCCTCGCTGGTTCAGGTTGTTGGCGACAGGAAGTAGCCAGGACTTAGACCGAAACGTGACTCAACTCATCATTTAAATCATCTGTACGCAAAACAATCAGACAACAATGCAGACAATGTTGTCAAATCGTCCATCATCTGTGCTGTTGGTGAGTGTGAAATGGCCAAATGATACAGAACTCTGAATTAGGATTCAGTTGACCTTATTTTACCTTATTTTATTATTAAATCGATCCGATGGTTTAGGTTTTACTTGCTTTATTTTGTTAGATACTGAAATTGAAACTCCCTTCAGTATTTGACATATATTCTAAACATTTCTCAGATTTCTTACCATGGCCGTGGAGAGGGAGGGGAGAGTGACGACTCCGAGGGGGAGAACCAGGAGCTTGCACAGATTGACAGAGGTAGGCCCAAACCAAATAATTTTTGATGTAAATAGATAATGATCCTCCCCGTCGCTTATTGTTCCTTCCACATGGAAATGAGAGGTTTTAAGTCAACAGATAATATGACATTTGTAAACCACGTTCTCCTTGTTCACCGACTCCCCCAGAGAGATGGAGAAACTGTTGCCTCACACCCTTGGCGACCAGCCAGCAGCACAACCAGGGGCTCCTCTCTCCAGCCCGGTTACGACGCCTTCGCCTCCTCTTAGACGCCAATGTGGATCGCCACTCCTCCGAGGAGGAAGAGCTTGAGCGGATTAGCCGCGGCGACAACAGGAAGTGGCTGTCGGCGCTTCCCCGGCGCCACGGCGACCACCACAGCAGCCCCTCCAGCGACGAGGAGGTGCGCGACCTCTGTGGTTGCAGGTCACCCTCCGCCTCCGCCAGGGCGCTGGGCGAGCCGGCCGGGCGCCTGGCCGCCTCCCCGAGCCCCGTGCTCTTCAGCTCCAGTCCACCGCGTAGCGTCAAGCCCCCCCCCATGCGCTTTCAGCTGCAGGTGGTGCAGCCGGTGGCGCGGCCCATCATTTTGACCCACTTTGACCAGTCAGCACCATATAGGAAGTATCGGCACAGTTATGGTGGGGAGCCGGGGCGGCCGAGTCTGGATCTGGAGAAAATGCAACAGGTTAGTAGCTCATTAGCATAGAGCCGCACCATTTAAAAATATTATTATCACAAATAATCCCAAAGTTGTTTGTCCCATCTCTTTGACCAGGGCTATGATAAAGTAGTAATTATAATATACATCATATTGTCGCTCACTCCTCCCTCAGAGGGGTGCTTAGCTGGGTTAGCGCCATAGTTCTCCAAAGTCACCATAAAATGTTGTTGCTCTATTTGTATTAGCGTCTGATACACGATATGACACACCAACCGGCAAGGTGGCAGGGTGATATCCGCTTTTTGGTCCTTTCCTTCCCCATAATAAAAACCAAGAGTATCCCCTTTCGAAAAACACTATTAAATAAAGTGCATTTCTTAGCATATGAAACTAGTTGCTGCATGTGAAGTGATATTTAACTCGTCACTGTAGCAAGCTGTTTATCTCCCCAACCAATTCAATCAGTCATTGTGGAGCCAAGGATTTGGCCCAACAATACAATGATGCACTGCCAAGACTACTATTAACTAGCTACCCCCCGCCCGCACACACACACGCACACACACACACACACACGGGTTCCCTTTTGATAGGCGGACACGCGCTGCCACGGTGGTCTGGCTGGGGAGGGATGAAGGAGAGGGAGGCTCGGACGGCAGATGTCTGCCCCCGTTTCTCACAAAGGCCGGCGAGCGAGGGGAAACGACGAAGGGGTGGAGGCAGAAGGAGAGGATTAAACACACAACAGAAAGACGGCGGCCACTAATGAGTCATGGTAAAGCTGGTCCACTAATCATTCAAATCCAATAGACTTGCTGGCCCACACCAATAGATTGGAAACTGTGTGTGCGCACGTGTGTGTTTATGTGTTTGCAGTTTGAAACTGCAGTTTTCAGGGGTCCATATGTCCATGGGGTTTTTAGAGGGAAGGAACAGATGAGAGACAGCGGGCAGCAAAGACAGGGGTGCAGAAAAGGAGAGGTAGAGTGTGTGTGTGTGTGTGTGTATCGTCTATTTCTGTCTGCATGTGTGCGTCCTCCTGTCCTGTTTGTTGCTGTATCCATGTGTGTGTCACAGTGCGTCTGTATGTATGTGAGAGTGTACACACCCAGTGAAGTGGAATGGGAGCTGCTGCTGGGAATACAATAGGGGGCCTAGGAGGTAGCCTGCAGACTCCGCTCCCGTCTCCCTTTAACCCTTTAGCTGGACAGCTTCCAGCGACAAGTCTCCCTCAGCCTCGACCACGTCATGTCTGTCACACGTGCTGTCCATGAGTTTCAAAGCTGACTGAGCTGCTTCCCTCAAATTTAGAGGTATTAGTAAACATCTGCTACTACAACAGATTGTGTAGTAATGTATTCAGGAGTGTAGAATGAAGAAAAGTGACACATGGTTAATGGTCACTGAGACATTTCTAAAATCAGTCCCCCTAAAGCCACCATAAAGAGTGTTGTTAATGTGGGGTGGACAGAATGATTGCGCTGCCGTCAGAGTGGTGGACGCGTAGGATGAAAAACAAAAAGGACGTGTTCGTTTGGGTAGTGGGTGGAATAGTGTCGGCTCGTTGTTTGTAGCGAATTACACTTACAGCCCCATTTATGGCCTTTTTTAAAGGAATTTCTCACTGTGTAAGATTTGGAAGTAGCCTCCTTGACGTCACCCTTCGGTGGGTGGCTCGTCCCGTTGCCATCACGGCAGATGGGCGAAGAGGTGGAGCGCTGGAGGAGCTGGGGGGGATGTTGACGCAGCAGAAGAGACAGGTAGCACGTAGCGGCTCACTACGGCACTCACCCCAAAGGGCCGCGCCCAAATATCTGTGTAAATTTGGAACCTTAACAAACGGTTCAAATGATATCTGACGTTAGCATACCATCCTTTCAACTTCACTGTACAGCTGTCATGAACGAGGATATTAGCTCTAGAGATCTTAACATGGGGGGTTGGAAGGGTCTCGCTGGATTGACTCCAGCCTCAAGTGGCCATTCAAGGAACTGCAGATATGACCTTTTGCATTGTCACTTCAAAAAGAAATGCATCTCCAACAACTTTTCAAGTACAAACATTAGTTTTTGAATCATCTTTCAAGCAGCTTGTGCCCACATGTACCGTTGTCTCGCTGACACGACTCCCACCCTCCCCCCAAAAAGATAAGAGCATGAGGGCACACCAGCTCACTCTCAGAACAGCAGGGGGCTCGTGCCTCCATTCTCTCCCGTGCTCCCTTCCCCCTTTTACAGAAGCTACCTCCCCAAACTCCAGACAATTCAAATTATTGTGTGATCCCTCCACCCCCACTGTGTGTGTGTGTGTTTTTTATTTTTATAGTGGAGTGGGAGACAGGATATTGCATAAACGCCACTGACTGTTTGGTTGAGCGAGACAGCTGGATGTGCCTCACTTCCTCCATCATCCTGGCCTAATGTCCAGTGACTGCTGAGGCACGCTATCAGACCTGTCCTTACTGTAAAGGGCTCTCTTCAAATGATGGTTGAATTTCACAAAAGGGCCGGGTGACCATGCACATGAACATGAACACAGCATAACTTGATGAGTTGTGCTATGGGGGGTTGTTGGATTTGCATGAATGTTCATAAAAGTGTTGTTGTTACATGTTGGTCACTGTGCATTCTTGTCCACAGAAAATGCTGCTGAAAAAGAACTGTGGAGGGAAAACACGGACCATAAAGATTCGGGTGAGTTTTTAACAGTAAAAGAACCAAGTATTTAGCGCGATGAATTCATTTCACAGCCGTGTGTGCGTGTGAATTCAGATTTTTACCACTTGAATGCAGACACACAGTAGATGCTCTGGATCAGGGTGGGGTGTCCATTACAGCCGAGATAAGGGTGCCAGGTTTGCCCCGGTGAACAGCCTGGCCCGCTTTGTCAACAAAACCTTGATGTCCATCCAAGTGCACCCTGGGACGGCATCTAGCGACGGCGTTTGTGGCCTGAGCCGTCTGGGAAAAAAACCTGATGGCACCATTAGCTCTTTTTAAAAAACAACAACACTGTGATGCCTAAGGAAATGAAACAAGAAGAAAACATGTTCTATTTTTTTCTCCAAGTTTGGTTCATCTCTTGATCCTAACGACTCTTTAATAGCCGATCTTTCCACTGCTCCCAATCGTGTTCTGGGAATCGCACATTCACCCGCTTAAGTGGCTTTGTAAACAAAGTTATTTTCCCGACTGATCTTCCCGTAAAACTGCCTTCTCTTCCCTCCCCTTGGAACACGAGTGAGCATTGCGTGCGCTGAACTGGTTGGCGGTGGGTTCAGGGAGGCCGGCGGGTGGAGGGGACGGGGAAGAGCCTGGCCGTCTTGGCACAGAGCTGAGCTCTCCAGAAGGATGCGCAGTGTGCCGAGAGAAGTGACGTTGGTATCACATTGTGTGGGTTGGTGTCAACGGAGCCTCGTCACACAACGCGTTTATGCGCGCACACACACACACACACACACACACACACACACACACACACACACACAGCAACGCATAGTTGCCCTATTGCTCCATGTCAAAGTACGAATGAGCGGTGCAAACAAAGTAAAAACTGATCTTTTGCGAGTGTTTTGAGGAGGAATTTGCGAGTGTTGCTGAGAAAGAGCTGAGGGGGAAGGGGAGGAGGCGCAGCGCTGTCGGTTCTATGCTGTATTTCCAGGGATGAAGTCATTTTCCATTTATAGCCTGGCCGGCTGATACATGGAGATATTGCTCATTATCCTCCGTTCCCGTGCGTGTACTCTATAGCGTTGCTTCCCCATCCGCACGGCTGTGCACACTGGGTGTGTTCCAGTTCCTGGGTTTGTATTATTATTTTTCTTGAAGTGAGAGTTCTTTGAATTGATGAACCATTTGGAGGCTCGTCGTGACTCTCTCTACGCGTGGTTCCACCGAGCACACCGAGACCCCTCCCCTCCCTCAATTAGTGAGTCCTGGGTCTCCTGGCCCAGATCCAGAAGAGACTCTGCATCTAGATGGGCCCCCGGCTTTGAGGCTGGGTTCAAGCATGGGCGTAGTTAGAGGTGCTGAGGGGGTCGGTGGTTGTGTGGAAGTGCTTGGTGGGGGGGGGCGGCAGAGCCGGGCAGAATGGAAAGTAAAGATTGATTGAGTGAGGGCAATGGGGGCGGGGTGGAACGTGCCACATACCTCTTTGATTTTTGATTCAAGTAAACTACGTTTTGGGGCCTTGGCGCCATGGCAGACAAGTGTAGTCGGACGCTTTGGGAGCTTTTTTGCAGCGGCTAGATTGAGAAGATCAATACGACTAGTGTTAAATATTAAGCTACAGCCAGATATGCTGTGCATGTAAAACCCGTCCGACATATTCTGTTCATAGTGGAGATGTTGAAAGGCAACTTCTTCCTAGAGCTCAGTGGCACAGTCACCACTAACATACTACCTACCGGACAGGTTCAAAGGTGCTGAATAAGACATAGGTAGCATATCTATATCCACATGACAACATGCTGTGTACTAACATGTTTACCCCATGGGGATGGCGATACTTTCTGGACCTCTACGTAGTTTGAGCCCTCCAGGCCCTAAAGGTCCACCATACTGGAGAGGTGACCACAGGATGACTGATGGTTCGCCTCCACCTCCTGCAGTGGGGCCGACTCCACCACATCTATCAAGTTTACTGCAACTCGTTCTTGGCTCCACCATTTCTATTTTCCTCCACTCACTTTTTGCCTGTCTATACAGACTTTGGTGGATAAAAGAGCACTAAGTGGTCTTGGGAATTGTTGCCGTGTTACTGCTGCTCAGTTGTCACCACTGAATCCCTAGAGATGTCGGCTGGAGTCATGGCAACGCCCGGGTCCTCCCATGCACTGTTCACAGGGCCCCGTTTCAAATGCATTGGTGGCACTTGGTACTTTTCCAGGAGCAGAGGGATGTCTCACGTCTCTGAGAGGTGTTTGACAATGAGAAACCACACGTATCCATACAGACACACATCCCCCCCTCCTGGGACCAGCTCCTAATTACTGTGAATACATCCAAGGTCCCAATCCACCTCCTCAAAAATGCCCCCCCCCACACACACACACTGCAGAAAGTGCTGCCTCACTGCCAAATCCAACAAAGTAATTTCCTGCCATTTCCTGGAGGGAGAAAAAAAAAGAAATGACGACGGCCAAGTTTAGAAAGCGGACTTGTAGAGCCACGAGGAGCGAGATTCTGCTCGGAGGAGGCGGGGGGAAAAGCCATTTACTGGGAATGTAGTAAAAAAAACAAATCTGCGTGAACATGTACATGTTTGATTTTCAATCCCGATGTCGTGACACGGCCACACAAACTATTCACTTGTGGTGCAACCGATCATCCAGCTCATTGTCTGGGTCACATTCATGGACTGGATCAGCACAAAGGACACGGATCGTATTTGGTGATCATTGATTCATGATCCATTTTCTGTTTGATTGTAGCGGCTGACCTTTGTCATAAAAACACACAATTCAAACAGTAGAAAAGGGAGGGTTAAAAGAAATCATGTCATTAGTAGCTTAATGACGTATTATAAGCTGTTTGGAGTTAATGTAAATTCATCTCTAATATCCATTACATTATATAAACGTCAAGTTTTTTATAACGCTACATTTTATGAGCTTGCATATGGATAGCATATGAACACATAGTTAGAATTAATCTTATACTTTGAGCCTTATACTCATTTTCATTGAGCAGAGCTTGACCATAAGGAAACCAAACTGAACCATTGGCAGTCTTGCTAACGCTACTAGCTCTCCTGTCAATTTAAACTCCTGTTGGGTGTTCACAATGTCACATGCCAGAGAAGCATGTCCTGATCGCATATGTTACTGATCAGGCACACTGTGATGGTTAGTACTCAACTCCACTGCTGTTGAACTGTGACATCTTACCTGAAGGTCATCAGGTGATCAATGCCATTTCCACAGCGCTCCTCCTCCTGACTTCTCTCTCTCTCTCTCTCTCTCGGCATACAGAATGTGACCGGCGGTCGACCTCCACCCAGGTACACCTACGATCCCTCCATCTTCGCCTTCCGCTCCTTGAGCGTGGTGCCCCCCTGCAGCCCACTGGCCCCGTCTGAGGACCCTCCCTGCTCGTAAAGGCAGTTCTCCCAGCGCTAGTTCATCCGCTCTCGTCCTCCTTCTCTTTCCATTCCCAGACGGGAATTTCTTTTTTTCCGGCCTCCGTGGCGAGACAGAGAAGCAACCATTTATGAAACCGACCGCTAAGACTGGTCAAACTATTGCACACTCAGGTAATCCCACCTTATCCCTTTGAATCACCGTTCTCCCCCCGTGAAATCTACGGGAACATTGGGGGGATAAAAACGGACCCAAACACAATACTTCCGCGTTGGCCTCTGAAGAAGATGCTGTGATTGGAGCATCCAGAAACACTCATGCACAGAGACGTGTTCTGAAACATTACTTCTGGGTTACAATGCACGTGAGACAATCAAGCGGTCCTGGTGTTTCCTCCGTTGATGTGGCCACTGGACGTCCTGTAAGGTTCTTGGTAACTTCATACTTTAAACATGGTACCGTGAGTCATTGGATATTGTGTTACTGAGACAAACGTGGTGGTCAATCTGAAAATAGTTCTTTGGATTGGTCACTGACTATGCAGGTCACGATCGTGAAACACGCATGACCTGCCGAGCTCTGTGGCCATGTAGGTGTTCTCAATGAATTAGTCACTTTAGTCCAGGTCAGAGTGAAGTGCTCGTATCTTCTCTCCTCGCATGCATTCCACTGCTCGTCAGAAAGAGGAAGTGATGTTTGTGAATAGTTCGCTGCACATCTGGCAAAAAGTTACAGGGGTTCTGTTCCGCGTAGCCGACTTGTTGTGTGCCATTTCTTTTTTTCAATATTGTACCTCATTGCTTTTTTCAGGTAGAAAACCACACTGGTTGTATCAGAGATAGTGTTTTTCTAGAGATATCTTAATGCCTTGAAATCACATTCCTGTCGCTCGGAATGAAACTTGAGTTCTGGGCTCCCGACGAGCCAATCAGTCCGATAAACGCAACAACCCCTTTAACACCCTGTGGAGGAAATGCATTGTGCCTCCTTCACAGCCCAGAGGCTTCCAGAGGGACGCAGAAATCATACAATCTGCACACTAAACACACTTGAACGGTGTAAAGCTGGTCAATGTCACCACTGTAACCAAGAATGTAACGTTGTGGCATGAATCAATCAATAAATACCCTGTGGCCTCTTGATTAGAAGATTGTCAATTCTGATAAGTATGCCATTCATGTTGTGACCAAGGGGGAACCCGATGAATGAATAGCATTCTCCACTATCCATCTAAACCGCTCCATGCCAATGGTGTGGTTTCCCCTACAAATCACTTTCCTTTAATACAATTCAAGATACTTTCCAGCCAGCTTGGATGTTTGTCCACCAGCCAAGTTATTGGGTACACGGAGGTATTTGTTTTCTATGTATGTGAGTGAGCGAGCGAGCGAGCGGGAAATAGAAGAAAGGGGTCCGATGTCAAAACTAGAACACCAAAAAGTGTTCAACCGAGAGGATACAAAATCAGTGCGAGTCCCGGGGCTTTGTACTGACAATTTTTATTTTACACTTATATAACAAAACTGTTTATTTACCTTCCCAACAGGAAAGAGGAGAGTGGTAAAGCAAACAGAAGAGCACTGAGTGGGATCTCACAGCGAGAAATCCTGCTCTAGGCAAACACCACAATGGCTGGCTCCCTCACAAAGACAATCCTGTTAAAAAGAACTCTGAAAAGGTGTGTGTGGGCGTGCGTGGACACACACACACACACACTCCACTTAGCGAGAGTCCTCATCAGCTTGCGTTTGATCCAGTAACCCATCCAAGTGTCCAGATGGTCATAAAAATGGCTTCAACTCTCTCCCTCACACACGCCTTCTGAGGAATAAAAAAGGAAGCCAAACCAGGGGAGGGATATGGATCAGATGTCAGGTGGGTTTAACTGCAGGAGGAGCAGCTGCACAGCAGAAAGCTGAATTACGAACAGTTCCTCTTCTGTCCCTTCTCTATTTTCTGCTTGGACGAAGTGAGATTTAATGTATTTTTTTTAAAACAGCCCATCTCTATCACTGTTATGGGTGAAAAGGTGCCAGCGGAAGGCGGAACGCCGCGGTCGGTTTAATGTGGATCAAAACGCTGTGCTCTTTGTTGATCCCAGAGCGGAGAAGGCCAACGCTCCCACTCCCAACAAAAAAAAGAAAGAATGAAAGTTGCGGCAATTAGGTTTTTTTCTAGGCTGAACGACACATGAGGACTGAGCCGGGCCGTCAGAGCCCAGGAGGATTTATCTTCAGATAAGAGCTGGTGGAGCAGAGACACAAGCTCCCTCCCTCAGGTTTTCCCTCAGTAGCCGTACTTGTCGTTCAGGTGTGTTCGTCCGTCTCCACTCTGATCTAAAAGTGAAGAAAAAAACATGGCTTTTATATATCCAAAAGCTTTCTACTCATCTAACAAGCTAAAAGAAAAGAAGCCCATATAGAAGTAAATACATTTATGTCCCACTAGAGCAAATTCAGCGAGCAGAGTTGCCGCTGACTCATAAGCATCGCTGCACGTCAGCTGCACGAGTCCTCATTCCTTTCCCCGTGTCCTCTAAAAGTCCCCCTCCTTCATCCCTGTCCACAGTTGGCCAGAAACAAACCGTCTTGGGAGTGTCAACGAGTGTTGGTCAACTTATAGACCTGGCATGGTTCCTTGTACACGGCTAACCGGAGTTAGCCGGATCATTTTCAGGACAATATCACATAGGTCAGGTTTTTCAGTTCCACACATCACAATGACGTACTGTACGAGCGCCGTCGATGCTGCCGACAAGGAAACATTTACAAGAAGTCTCAAGCCGTACATGGTGAACCCCACACAACTCCGAGCAGTCACTGTCCCACAGACTGTCCCACACACTGGATGCATAGCCTTGAGCTTTTTTCCAAGTGGTACATGTATGTCCAGTGTACAGACAGCATCTGGAAAGCCGCTGCATGCCGTGCTCTTTGTAAAGTTTATTAAGCGCTTAAGAAACTTCTCGATGTTCCATGTTTCACTGCTTCAATTGATTGAATTTCAGATTATGAATATCACGTACATATTTGCCCGCCCAGAAACATATTCTCACACACATTTTCAGTAGTTCTATATGGTCATTTACATGTATGTACATATATCCTCATAACTATTATTTGTGTTAATTATTTTCGCCAGCCGGATCTCATTGGATGATGCATTTCATGGTGCCCACTGCCAGCAGGCACATAGAAATAGAATCTGATTTATTGTGATGAGGCTCTTAAAATGAGCCTACAGTTTCCCAACACTTATGCGTAGAACATTTCTGCGATATTTAGCCATGCTTCTTGTCTCGCCCTCGAAGCGGTGGCGCGGTTACATATTGCCATAAATATTCAATTTTATTCATTTTATTTTGTATAGCTCAAAATTGCATATTAGCCTCAGAGGGCTTTACAGTCGGTCCACATGAGTCATCCTCTGTCCCCAAACCCTCACATCGGCACCAGGCTTCCTGGGATGGACACACTGCGATGGATGTCATGTGTACAGAATGAACAACTTAAAAGATGTACAGAAATGTTTCAAATATACATATTACGTTTACATATGCCTTAATGCTCATTTTCCTTTGAGTTTAAAAATCATGTTTTCGGTGATCGACTCTTCCCCCTTTTGAAGTAAGACGGCCATGTGCAATTACCATGATGACTGACGTCTGGTTCAAATTAACAACACTTTGTTTGAGAGCGGATCAGCCTTTGAGGAACCGTGACAGCCTGACTTCAATCATCGGGTTAATCGGACATTTGAGTCCACGCCTGCTCATCCTCAACTGACAAAGAGCGGCGGGTTTACGGTCACACTGGTTGACTCTGACCTGCATCAATTGTCAACAGGTTTTGTGCAAACAGTCGGGTGGTTTTACCTGTGGGAGGCACCCAGACGCAGTAATCAGGGTCGTCCTCTGGATACGGTCCCGAGGGCTGCTTTGGGGGCTGTGGAGACAAATTGTGCGGTAAGCATTTATGCACAATATAAATATATATGAATGAGAGAGAGGGACTAGCGTACCCTGCTGGGGCCCATCACTTTCTTCTTCACCTTCTTTCTGGGGCTGGGCTCTGCTGCTGGACCTCCATCGCCTCCCGCTTTGGACTCTGTGGGGGACGTCGGTATGCATATGGCATTAGAGGTGGTGACCCGGCACCACGCTCGGAACAAAAACCAACATGCGCAGATTGATATGGAAACGGTTAAAACAAGGGAACCACCTGGAGCCAGCGAGGGGCCCTCCTTGCGTTGAGAGTCCTGCTCCACTCCCTCAGCGGACTCCTCGCCTTCTGTCGGTGTGCCGCTGCGCTCTGATTTCAAGTCAGACAAACAAAAATAAACAAAGACTAACCATTAGCACACGCATACGGTTACACATTCCTGAGTGTTTGATTTGTGCATTTTTCTTTCTACAACTGCCACAGGGTGAGAAATGCTATTGTGAACACACAATGATCTACTGCCACCCAGTGGCAGAAGAGATGCAGTGCAGACTTGTGGGACCAGATTATTTCCTTCATTTCTTGTACCTTTGGGCTCTTGTGAGCGCGGGGGTTCCCGTCTTTGCTGCACCGACAGAGACACGCCAGACTCCTCAGAGTTGGTCTCAGTAATAGCCGCATACTCCTTATCCTCATTTCCCTCGGCCCCTTCCTCCCCCTCTTCCTCTTCCTCTTCCTCCTCTTCTCCACTGGGTGGAAGTTCTTTCATGTTGAAGAGCTCGGCGGGCAAGTTGGGCCGCTTCGGAGGCAACTTCTACAAGAGATGAAGAAACATCAATGAAAAAGAGAGAACCTGGCAAGAAAAGAGGCCCAGCGACCAACACATACCCCAATGGTGCCGGTCTTCAGTTTGAATTTGCTTCCCCCCTTCATGGCTCCGAACAGCGGTAAGGTCTTTTTGGGCGTCTCTGGCTCCGAGCTACCACTGTCACACCAACACACATCAAAATAGTGTTCAAGTCTGTATTTTACAGGCTGACCCGCCGAACGCTTAGAAGAAGCTAGAGACTGAGCCCAACCTGTTCTGTGGCCTCTGCTCTGAAAATGGCATACCCATAACAAGTGTAATAACTGTGTAACTACTTTGTCTATCTGGACAACTCTCTTTATGTGGGAATAAAGGGGGGCGTCTGAGGTGTAAAAATCTGTTTATAAGTTACTGGTGAAGAAATAAATTGATACAACACCCTAAAAAACCCTTTGAGTTTTACGTTGAGGATTAATACTCAGGAACAGGCTTTTGTGAAACAGAAACAGTCAAACTCATGATTTTACTCTCGCTCTGCCTGTGTTGGTCCCATTGGATACAACTAAACCCACGTGGAAATGATCCACAGCTCCGAGCCCCTCACCAGCCAAACTGGGTAGAGCGTAAATGACCCTCGAGAATGATAATGTCTCCCTGTGAAATTCGACCCCCTAACTCCTCCTAACGTAATTTAAAAGAGATAAGAAGCTGTGTGAGGTGTGCAAGACGGCAGGTGGCCGTACTGCACTGAAGAAACAGCAGATTCATTTAATCATTTTCATTTATTTCAGATTCATATGCTGGATGTTTGGTGATTTTTGGGGTTGTCAGAGAGAAATGACACTTATATCAAAGTGGCTTGTCTTGCTCTTCTGGGTGCAGTTTTCTTTGTTCACTCCTTTCCTTGCTGAGAAATGTTACAAACGCACCGCCATGTGCAAATTGTGGACTAATTTGCACATCATATTTTATAACTTGGAGTTTTCAAACAGATAAGTGCTGATTGCAGCTTGTAAGACTCTAATGTTTTGATCGGTGTGAAGTATTGTATTTGACCACAATAATCCTGTTCTGGCACCGATTACATGGTGTGCTTGTGCTTCACATTCATATCTGTATGGGAATAATGTGTTTGTGTTCACTCTGAAACATTCCCAGCAGCGCGTCTGACCTCGGCAGCAGCGAGGGCATCCGGGCGGGCCGCGTGAGCTCCACCAGCTTGCGCAGCCTCTGCGCGTCTTTGCGAAGGTCGGCCACGCGCACGTGGAGCTTCCTGCGCTCCACGGCGTCAATCGCCGCCTCACTCCGCACCGCGGTCATGAAGGCGTCCAGCGGGTCTTCGGCCGAGGAGCCGGAGGAGTCTTGAGGAGGAGAAGATGAGAACACGCGCGTTTAAAAACAGGCAGCTGTAGCCGTGGCGCCGGCGGTGAACTCCGACCGTGACTCACCGCCCCTCCCGCCGCTGAGCTTTCTCTGAGCCTCCGCCAGCTCAGTCTCCACCTCCGATAGTTTGGCCACCTGCATGAGGAGAACAGAAACCTCTCAGTAGTGGTGCAGTTTGCAGGAATACACATTCTTATTATTAGTTTGGGAGGTATTTTGTGTCGTGTGACAATTTGCGACCGTAAAACATCACGCCGGCTCCACAGCAGTGTGTCGGCGTTTTCAGTGAGAGCATTGAGCAGAATTCAGTAGTATCCCCGAGTCGGGTGCACAAATAGCGGCAGAGTCTCATTTACCAGTGACTCGTAGGTCTGGGGCCGCTCCTCGACCTTTCCTGCCTTTTTCATTCTCTCCTGCCTCTTCCTCTCCACGGTGCCAGTTCGATCCAGGAAGGTATCGTCATCGCTGTCGTAGTAGTCCTCGTCTTCCCAGTTCTTCTTCTTGCGCTTGCGAGACACTACGCGTAGGAAGGCCAGCAGGAGACAAAAATGAAGAACATGTAAACATAAGTACGAGCTGGAAGCAGTGCAGACGGTGGTCCATAATCCTGCTCGCCACCTGCTTCCTGGCGGAGCAGCCCTCTGGCTTCCAGCATTCGACATGCCTCCAGGCAGCACTGGACGGCCACATCTTTCTTCTTGCCGGTGTGGGTCGCCTCGGCGACCAGCTGCCGGCCCGCGGCGTCGTCTACCGGGAGCCTGACAGAAAGGTCAACTCTGTGATCCCATTCGAGCTTTCTGACAGCAAGGTTTTAAAACGTACGCATTTTCACTTCACTCACTTTATCCTGCAGAGCCACGTGCCGTGACTTTGGTCTTCATACTCAAACTCTAGCTCCTCTCCTGAAATTGAAAGATGCCCGAGTCAAGAAATTCAAGAGCAGCAAGAAGGAGAAACAATGAAAAAGAGGAACGCGTATGGCGGCGGATTAACAGGAAATCTTCTTACCTTCCCTGTCGTAGAAGCCCTGCAAGGCCTTCTTTGGGTCCTTCAGGTAGGCCGCTTCCTGGTCCTCTTGGAACTCTGTTGAAAAAGGGTTTTCCTCGTTCTCGTCGTCCTCCGGAACGACCTCTTCGGCTGATGGTTGGATGGACAAAGACAGATGGAATTAAAAAAGGAGACGAGAAAAGGGGTTAACACCAGGTTGTGACGGCGACACAAGAATCTGTCCACACAGTTCATACTGTTGCGTGATGCGGAACAAACATCTCACCCATTCCCCACGAGCAGCCCGAGTCTTTGTTCTGGCTCTTGTTGATTTCCCCTAGGCCGTCTCCTGCCTCCTCCTCCTCCTTATGCCCCCCATCATCGTCGTCATCATCAGAACCATCTCCCATCATCCTCTTCTCAAGTTCTTCCTTCTGCTTTCGGGCCTTCTCCCTCAGCTCCGTCACCGTCAGCTCAGACTCCTCTTCTTCGTCAAACTCTGGACCCTGTGGGACGAGGAAACTCAACTATTTATTTTGCTTGCCTACGACCCAGCATGCAACGCAGCACTGAGAGTCCGGTGAGATGTGAAAGGGGCTAAAAGTTAGTTTCAGGTCACGCTATTGTGCGGTGGCTCTGTGCTCCACTTGGGGGGGACTACTTAATTAACTTTTTTTAAATACTCTGTTTACTGTTGTTTATGTTAAGTTTGGTAAATTGCTGATTTCTGCTTATTTTTCTTGTAGAATCAAGATTCACAGATAACCGATCTAGATGCTCAACGGTTTTGTTTTGAAGAACACCTACAAATCTAAAACCTTAGGAGAAAGGTCAGAACGTTAAACGTCTTGATAAATTATTTCCACTTAATAATCAAATATATACAGTGCTGTGAATAAGTATTAACGCTCTTCCTGCTTTATTTTTTTTGCATATGTGTCACAGAGGTTTCAGATCAAACTAATGATTTAACATTTTTCTAAGACAATGTAGTTTTTAAATGATCTCATTTGTCATCTTAAACCGGCTCGCCGGGCCGACAGCTCCAGCAGGACCCCAGACTCCCCTAACGGCCCCCCATTCCTGCCTGTGTGTGTACATGAGTAACTAAGAAGTAAGAGGGACACATACTTTTGCACAGCACAAATACAAAATGAGCTCTGAAACATTGCCCTGAGTGGAATAAATGTCACGTTGTGGTGTGACCTCCGACGGGGTTTACGTGCAGGTGTAGACGTCCGCGTCAGGTTCTCACCTGCAGGATAAAGAGCCTCGTGCTGCCCCCGAACTTCAGGACGTGTCCAACCCGGAGCCGCATGTAGGTCTTCGGGGGGACCTTGTTCTTGTTCACCACGGTGCCGTGCGTGCTTCCCAGGTCGTGGACGTAAAACCCCCTCTGCTCCCCCGCGGAGTCCCCCTCCCCGGCCTGTGCCCGGTACTGAAGCACGGCGTGATACCGGGAGATGGACGGGTGCTCCAGAGAGACGTCACACACGGGCAGGCGTCCGACCACGAAGTAGCTTTTCTGCGCGAGGGGTACCGTGTCCACGATGGTGCCGTTTTTAAGAATTTCCAGAGCATAGGGGACATCCGTGGCCTTGCCCCCCCATGACGGCTCAGTGTATGGGATGGGGGGCGACTTACCCACCGGGGGGCCTTTAGATGGGAGCACCGTGCGTATAGCCGCTGGCTTGATTTTAAAGGGAGCCACGTTCTTGTTTTTAACGTCACCACCGTCCCCGTCCTTCTCTCGATCCGCTCCCGTGGTGCTGTTGTCATCTCCAGGACCCGGGGAGTCCTCCGCGGCGGCGTGTCCAGTCTCGGCTCGGCCGCGTTCCTTCACGGGTTTTGCCGCCGTGGATTTGGACGCAGCGGTGTCGTTACCGCGTTTGCTGGCGAGAGAAGGCACCGCGAAAATGGCCGGTTTTTTAAAATTGTCTTTTTTTTCTGGTTCAGTCATCGTTTCCTGGTCGCCTTCGTTCTCTGGGGCTGAGTGCGCGTCCGTTTCCATTGCGGAGTTCAAGCCTCCTTCCGAGGTTCCCACACACACGTCTGACGGCGGGGAGGCGTCCATGTTTATCTGGTGCAACTGCAAAGTGTCTCCGGGTTGTCGAAGCCTCTATAAGCACCGCTGGAGAATTTGTTTCCGAGAAATTGCAGTTAAGAAATTATTTGAAAATGTATTTTCTATTTAAAATATGAAAAATGGCATGTGACTATAATTCTCGTGTTATGCAAGTCTAAATAAATAGTTTATTGCGGAACTAAATACCTGGTCCAGCTGCTCGCCGAGTCTTTTAATAAGAAGGACTAAAGTGATTAGTTCCTGTGCAACTTCCTTCATAAATACAACAACGGACATTGCTTTCAAATATTGCAGGCGCTTTATCTATCCATGTACAGTGTGAGTGGTTGTGTACTTTTTAATTTGTGTATAATTGAACTGTCTAAACGTGCTCAGCTTACTCCTTCATAACGTGGTCGTTAGTCGTTTCTCCTCCGTGAAGGACTTTAATGTTTTCTTTAATGCTCATGTTGCACCAAACTGCAGACACCTGCCACACGTTGTTTACTTGGTGTTCGGGAGACAAGCATACGTGTTAAACCGTAACTTCAGTGCCCGCGCGAATCGATGCTAATCTACTGTATGTATGTATTTTGTGTCTGTGTAATTGTGCCGACAAGTGCATTGTCTCTTGAAAACGAATGAATCTTGTGCACATTTGCCACCATGTCATCAGTTATTCGATTGGCGTCATCGTCCCATGGCAATTAAGTTTAGGTTAATTTTATTTATTTATTCTTATTAAAAATAAATAAGGCCGTTGCTTTTTTCCACTTCATCCCTGATTGTGGTGGTCACTAATATCCACTCTTTCTCCAGATCTAATTACAGTCTGAGTCTGTCTTTTCGGCTTTGATCCCCCACCATGATGCGTTACTGGGGCGAGATCCCTGGGCCTGCAGGGGCTCCGCCCAGTCGCAGCTCCTTCGACTTGCTCCAGCGGGAGTTTCGCTCCGTGGAGATGCAGGACCCTCCCCTGCATCAGCCCTCGGCCCAGCGTCCACGACCCACCACCATGTTGGACATCCCCTCGGAGCCCTGTAGCCTCACCATCCACACCGTGCAGCTGTGTCAACACGCCCGCCGCCTCCGTAGCCTCCTGTCGGCGGCTCAGGGTCAGAGCTTGGCACCCTCCGAGGGGGGCAGCAAGCTGGAGGAGGCGGAGGCAAACCTGCCCCTGTGTCCTCCCACCCCACCTGTCATGCCAGACGACCTGCTGCCCGTTGACAGCAAAGCGCCGCGACAGCCCTTCCTCCTCCGCCACAGTGACCCTGAAAGTGACTTCTACAAGTGAGTGGATCCGATTGACGTGGCTGAGCCAAGATTAATATTCTGAATGAATACTAGTGCCAAGTGAATATATTCACACATTTAATGTCACAAAATTTATCAATCGTCTTCTTAAGGGGTAAAGGCGAGCCTGTCACAGAGCTGAGTTGGCCTTCTTGCAGGCCACTTCTCTATCAGTCAGTGGCCACCATCTTGGCCCACGCTGGCTTTGAGTCGGCCCAGGAGAGCGTGCTGGAAACCCTGACGGACCTGGTCCATGAGCACTACATGCGGCTCTCCCGCATGCTCCGCGTGGCGGTGGACCGCGAGGCCCGACTGGGAGCGAGTCCCTTCCCAGACGTGGTGGAGCAAGTGTTCCACGAGGTGGGCATTGGCAGCGTGCTGGCCCTGCAGCGCTTCTGGCAAGTGAGGATCAAGGACTATCACAACTACATGCTGCAGGTGAGGTTGGTAACGGGGGTTCTGCCATTAGACAGTCAATTTGTTTTATCTCAGTTTTATCTATTTTATTGTGTAATTGTATTAGATTTTTGTGGCAATGTTTCAAATCAAGTTTTCATAGCGTTGAAAATTATTTGTGTAGAAATGTGATGAGGTGGTATTTAATCCACTGGATTTGTTGAAAGCTGTCATGAATGTGTCATGTCAGTAAATATATATGTAACGGTATATATAGACACACCTGTCTATATAAGGTATCACAGTTGACAGTGCATATCAGAGCATAAACCAAGCCATGAAGTCCAAGGAATTCTCTGTAGACCTCCGAGACAGAATTGTATCAAGGCACAGATCTGGCGAAGAGTACAGAAATATTTCTGCAGCATTGAAAGTCCCAATGAGCACAGTGGCCTCCATCATCCGGAAATGGAAGAAGTTTGGAACCACCAGGACTCTTCCTAGAGTTGGCCGCCCAGCCAGACTGAGCGACCGGGAGAGAAGGGCCTTAGTCAGGGAGGTGACCAGGAACCCGATGGTCACTCTGACAGAGCTGCAGCGTTGTTCTATGAAGAGAGGAGAACCTTCCAGAAGGACAACCATCTCTGCAGCACTCCACAAGTCAGGCCTGTTTGGTAGAGTGGCCAGACGGAAGCCACTCCTCAGTAAAAAGCACATGACAGCCCGCCTGGAGTTTGCAAAAGAGCCCCTGAAGGACTCTCAGACCATGAAAAACAAAAATTCTCTGGTCTGATGAAACAAAGATTGAACTCTTTGGCCTGAATGCCAAGCGTCATGTCTGGAGGAAACCAGGCACTGCTCATCACCTGGCCAATACCATCCCTACAGTGAAGCATGGTGGTGGCAGCATCATGCTGTGGGGATGTTTCTTAGTGGGAGGAACTGGGAGACGAGTCAGAATTGAGGGAAAGATGAATGCAGCATTGTACAGAGACCTCCTCGATGAAAACATGCTCCAAAGCGCTCTGGACCTCAGACTGGGGCGACGGTTCATCTTCCAACAGGACAACGACCCGAAGCACACAGCCAAGATAACAAAGTAGTGGCTTCGGCACAACTCTGTGAATGTCCTTGAGTGGCCCAGCCAGAGCCCTGACTTGAACCTGATTGAACATCTCTGGAGAGATCTGAAAATGGCTGTGCACCGACGCTCCCCATCCAACCTGATGGAACTTGAGAGGTTCTGCAAAGAAGAATGGGAGAAACTGCCCAGAAATAGGTGTGCCACGCTTGTGGAGTCATACCCAAGAAGACTTGAGGCTGTAATTGCTGCCAAAGGTGCTTCAACAAAGTATTGAGCAAAGGCTGTGAATACTTACATGTATGTACATGTTATGTTTTCATTCTTTATTTTTAACAGATTTGCAAAAATGTGCAAAAAACAATTTTCACTTCGTCATTATGGGTTGTTGTGTGTAGAATGTTGAGGAAAATAATAAATTTAATCCATTTTGGATTAAGGCTGTAACATAACAAAATGTGAAAAAAGTGAAGCTCTGTGAATACTTTCCGGATGCACTGTACAAGACATTTGAAAAGGGTTCTTGGCAGTATCTTATAGTGGAGATGTCCCACCTCAGCTGAAATAAAGAGTGCCTCTACTAACACCCGGTATAGTGCGGAAACATGCATTCTCAAATAGAAAGGGAGAAGTGGGCACGTGGCCTGAGAGATTCAATCTGTCTGGTGCCAACAGGGCTTCTAGAGGTATACATTTTTACCTGCGAGCCTCCATCTGAAAGGTTTGACAAATAAAATATTTTCTTCTTCCAGGTGAGCAAAGATCTGTCAGAAGAATATGAACGATTGGTGAACCCAGAAAAGGCTTTGGAGGACTCCAAGCCCCCAAGGATTAAGGAGGAGCCCATGAATGACATCTCGTTCCCCGTTAGCGAGGAGCTGGAGGCTGACCTGGCCTCTGGGGACCAAGCTCTGCCCATGGGGGTCCTCGGGGCCCACGCTGAGAGGCTGGCGTCGGCGCTGGTTGGTGACCATTCTCCTCACACCTCAGGTGAGGTCGACTTTATACAAACGTGAGCGGCTTAACCGTAACGTCACCAACCGGTTTCTCAACCCCCAGAGGTACCGCTTGATATTGTTGTATCACAGCTCATCGCTGGATGTGTCTCGTTCAATAAGTAGCTCTAAGCCTTCTTAACGGTCCTTGTTGTCTTCCTAATAAAAATCTCTTGGACTGCTTGTGAAAAGGCTGCTTCCATTATGTGGCCTAAATCTGTGGTCCCGTAAAGGAGTGCATGGCTGGGCATTTGCGCAACATTCTGCACGTCGTATTTACCATCACTGATTTCTAAAAGAAACGTAAGCGGCCCGTGCCGACCAATCGTAGATCTCCATCATCTCCGTGGCCCTGACCGTTGTAGCATCTGTGGTTGCGTCCACCCTTGACTGTTAGAAACACAGCATGCTGTCACCACTGATTGGATCCGGTGATTCCTTCTTTTTTAAACATGAGACATTTGACCTACTCTGGTTAACACCAGTCGGACTTCTCACTATAGGAAAAGGCTTCACTAGGTGCAGCTCAAACATGCTAGATCAATGTTGTTGGGAAGTATCCTATGAGGGCAATTTTAACATGTGTTTGTATGCAGCCCTCCTCTCTTTAAATGGTCTGGATATTATTATTATTTTTTGTAGAAAATCCCCTTTGCTAAATTGGTGCTGCTCTCTTCTCAGGTGGTGTTGGGACCAACAGCTCCCCTCTGTGGCCTCAAGTAAAAATGGAGCCGCAGGATGCTGAGGAGGGCCAGGGCGCCGGCAACCATCAGCACCACCACCACGCCGTCTTGGGTGGTGACGTGTTTGAGGAGGGGGGGCCCATGTCCACCATGAGTGAGTCCGGGGGAGCCATGGCAGCCTCTCCTGGGGGAGTGGCGTCAGACGCCAGCTACGCGTCCCATTCGCCCGATTCCTTGATGGGCGCGTCGCCCGTTTTCAACCAAAGGCCCAAGAAGCGAACGAGGAAGATGTGAGGATGCGTTCAAGGAAGCTGGAACCGCTGATAACTGAACTCTGAACACAAAAGCTGACGGTGAAACCCACCAGCTGTTCTGCTGCCAACATGAACAGCCACTTCATAAGCTTACGTAAATGTCATGAACGGACTGGACTGCTGTGACGAGGGGTACAGTTTCAGTGTACAGTTTCTCTCAAATTAGCGGAAGGCTTTGCCGTTTAATTCATGACAGGGTTTATTGTGAAAAGAATAAAACATCTTTAAGAATATCCGTTTTGCTTCAAGTTTTATTAAGTGCTTTTCAGAAAATGTTGGTAGATGATGACAGTTGGCCTACTGAATTGGACAACAGGAAAAACTACGGGGTCCAAAAACTGCACTGGGTTGGTTTTGGCTGTTAAGTCCCTTTTACCTCACATAAACATTCCGTCCTGTGCCATTCATTAGTAATAGAAGATGCTTCAAAATATTTATTTTCCCCCTTATGGAGATGCCGTGCATATTATGACACATTCCCTTTCAGTAGCACATGTGGCCCAATGTGGTGGAACGACACACACACACACACACACACCTGTCTGCCTGAAACCGCTCTGCTAAATTAGCATCTGTTTCAGTAATGAGGCAAAGCTGCGAAATGCAACACCAGAAGCAATTATGTCTTGCTTGTGTGTATCGTGACGGCTACATCAATCCCGTCTCAATGGCAAATTAATTACGGCATGTTTAATTCTGCACACTAAACGAGTAGACCCTGTTTGAATCCATGGGATTTTTTTTAGTGTGGCCGCCTCCTCCGGGTTGGCAATAAGGCAGATAACGGTCGGTGCCTTAAGGAGCGGGCGGATGGGGCTCACGTATTGACATTCAATAAACTGAGTTAATAGTTTTAGTTTAGTCTTCGTTTGAGACGCACCTTTAAAAATGTGTGATGTGGAACAGCTTGAAAAACAAATTTACTTTCACAGACATAAGTATAATCATAATAATACTAATGTTTTAACCGACTAAACTTAATACGTAGCCATTGTCCTCGGAAATCCTAACAAATCTGACACCTAAAATGTCTGCCCTTTTTTGGTAGCTGATCCCTGCTTAAAAATCATTGTGATAATCTTCAACAATGCATTGCATTTTTTATACATTTTTTAGGCTTGAGTGAGTCTTAATTTGAAATTGGTTGATTTGCATGACTGTCAAATACATTCCGACAAAAAAGGACCAAATTCCCTTCTGAAATGTTGACTGTAACACTGTAAATACATCCCACCACTTCCAAAATTATCATTTATTTTTTCTCAAGGAAATATTTTGTATTAAAATAATGATCAACAGTTGTGGATTAAATCTTTTAAAAGTAAACGTTTCGGCTGAAAAAAATTGTGATGGAGATTGAACGTTTTAACATACAATCTGGTGTTATACTTTTGTTATAGTTTGTCAACAGCTACCAAGTTTCTTTGCGCTGGGGAGAAAAGATGTCAAGGTGTTTGTTAAGAGGGGACAGAGAAAGGACTCAACACGTGATTAATTACCCTTACCTCGTGAACTTTAATTTTTAAAGTTAGCGAGCGGAATGAAGAACAACTGTACGCAATGAGCTCGGATCCTCCTTCAGCGTCCCTCCAGCGTGTCTTAGGTCTTCCCCGGGGTCTCCTACCACTCGGTCGTGCCCTAATAACCTCCTGGAGGCGTCCCGGAGGCATCAGACTTACAGTAGATGCTCAAACCACCTGACTTGCTTCAGCTCCAAGTTCCCTCCTGATGTCAGAACTCCTCACCCTCTCTGAGACTGAGCTCGGCCACCCAACGAGGGAAGGGACGCAGACCTCCGAGCAGCAACTTGACACATGACTTGTATGTGTTTCAACTCTGCTCCTAGTAAGTATTATTTCGTAAATGTCCTGTTTAATGATTTTACACCCGGGTTGAAAAATATTTTTTCATCCTAAAAGTTCGAGCACACTCTCCGGTCCCCCTTTTTAAAAATGGGAACCACCCCGGTCTGCGAGACCATCGGCAATGTTCCCAACCCCTACGAAACATTGAAAAGGCGTGACAGCCAAGACAGATCAACAATGTCCAGCAGCGAAGAAGCTGCAGGTGTGTTGAGAAGTTGCAGGAGGGCAGAGCTAACTAACTCCCCCAAAGACATGCATGGCGTAGAGGTTTACATCCACTGAGCCAGCACGAGAAAAGCACAATGATGCAGGGAAATTCACAATAGCAATTATAGGCTTTAGTTGTGCTTTGTATTATTGTACCTTGGCGTAGGTAAAAATTAGTTATGATGAGACCCTTTCAGCCATTTTGTGACCCTTTACAGCAATAAGACGTGACTAGAATTAACAAACTTCGAGCTGTGGCGTTTATATTGTTAGTACATTCATGTCTGTGTCATCTACGTTAATGGTTATTTTATTCTGCCATTGAGTCCATATGAAGTGTGTGGCTATTTCATTTGTGTTTGTTGCACCCGCTGTAGTCTCCAGCTTCTTTTTATTTATTGCCGGTCCAGTTGTCTGAGTTGTGCGTGTGACCTTTCTGGCTCCTGGTGGTGAGGCAACTGGAAACAATATTGGCCTTTTGACTTGACACATTTCTCCGGTAGGGTTGTCCGATGCATGTAGCGGCAGTCCAGGAGTCCTCCATCAGAGGGCAGTGCTGTGCTACACAAATTGTAGCAGGACTGTGGCCTCCTCTTCAAATGATTTAGATTTAGCGTTCTTCCAGTTACCACCAGAGACCCGGGCACTCCCAAGCCTACTAAGTGAGCAATACATTTTTTAAGGCATCAGAGTGTTTCAGAGCAGTGTGGAGACTTCACTAAATGGTTTAATTTACTCTACACAGCGGTAATCAGCTCGCTGTTGCAACCGCGTGTTCCTCTGAATGTCTGGATTTGGATGTATCTGACAAACCAAGCGTGTTATGTTGCATCAGAACCAATAATCAGAAATTAACTGTTGGATTTGTTCCTCATCATGATAGACAAAATAAAATACATTTAAGATTTGTTATGCACGGTTATTTCACTGTGCATTTAATTTCACTAAAAGGTGAGACTGGGAAGAGATGTGGTTTTGGGATCCCTAATTGCGTGTCGGTCTGCAGCAGCAAACTAGATGAGTTCAGTGTTTCCTCACATATGCCTTTGCGAGCGAAAAGGCTAATTAAGGGGAGCTCGCCTACACAAGGCTGGCAGCAATGCGCACAAAAGAACCACCATTTTCCCGTTCCAGTCCTCCACAAGTGATACGTCTGCAAGGTAATGTATTCACATCAGGCACCTTAGAGCACTTTAGATGATGGTATAAATATCATAAAGACCACCATATCATGTACAACGCAACTTCAATTGAAGCAAGTCTGAAAATTGCTTTTGTAGCAGGACTATGGTGGTTCTGATTTGCTCTTTCATGTGCAAAAAGAGCCTTTTTCTTTTTTTTTTCCTGTTTGTTTGCAGCCGTTATTTGTGTGCCAAATAGCTTTTAGCAGTTTGTGTTCATCACAAACCGCTGTATTAAAGGATAGCTCAAAACTTCTCAAACAGATTTATGTGAGTTGAGACATTGCAGGTCCTATAACCTTTTACGTGTAAGTCAATGAATCTAAAAATATGTCTGTAGGCTTCAATTTGTGAGAGAGTATGATTTTTTTTTTGTGGCCATATCGCGCTTTAATGGTTTTCATCCATGACGCCTGAGGCCTGTGCCTCTCGACCCTCCTGCGCCCCCTCCGAGTTTCCCACGTAACCCCGAGGAGGCCGCCTGGAAATGAAAGCAGGTATTAGCACACCCTAAAACCAAAACAACAACAACAACACAATCGTCTGGGGCAAATGGGGTCGCGGCCTATTCCTGGGGAGCGGATTCGTCAAAGTGTGACACGCTGCGACGAGGCCTCACGGGGTTTGTCACACTGTGGAGCTGTGACACTTTGATGAGTCTTTAGTGTTGGCTTGTTTGAGTGTGTGACACCATCCCGTCACCGTCTGCTATCAGTCGCCACATTCTCTGGAGCTGTCAGAAGCCTTCTTGAGATGGTGCGGGAAATAGCAGCTGCGGCTGACAGGAAGATGGCGTTCCCGGGGAAAGGAGGCACGGCCTCTTTTGATACACAGCCAAGTGCCGCGGAATTTAGATGTGCGGAAGAACTCCAGGCAAAAATTGAGGTTTGTTCACTCACTCGAGCTCAAGGTGGTGTTGAAAACATGATCTGTCCATAAAATCCCCTATTGAGGATGAAGCACCGTTAGTTGTAAACGATCAGGTGTGTTTCCAATCAAAAAGGGAAAAAACAGCACAACCCCAGATACTATAGATTACTTTTCACATACAAAAGCTGATTATATTCACATTTCACAGATTCTTTGAAATGTGTGTTTTTCAGTAGTTTTCACGCTTTCTCACATACATGTATTATATTTTATTATTCAAAGCTAATTATCATCTCAAACAGACACACGATAGGAGGAATCATGTCGTCATCCCTCTGATAGATGTAAAGAAGAACTCAGTGTTTTTCAGCCTCAGAACATTACCTCTGATCTCACTGATTTGTGGTGGACTGTGAAGCAATCTGATACAAATGGCAGTAGTCCCTCAAGCACGCCGTCTTTTCCTCCTTTTACGGACGAATCACACTCCTTTTGCTGTCGCCTCGTATTGCTGACATTGAGACAGCATTGTTCGCTGTTGAAGTGCTTTCAGGAAGTGAATTCATGTTGCTTCTTCTTGTTTGCCACGCGACTGTCTAACAGTGAGTTAACGGAGGGCAGGACCGGACTGTGCTGACATCACTGGCAGCAGTTCAGGAAACAGCTCGGAAAATAATGGGCTTTCTTTTCGAGAATTAAATGAGTGTTCAAAAAACGCTTTTCTACTTAACGTTATTGTTCCCATACAGTGCTGCTTTTCTTTCCACCAGCACATCAGAGGCAAATATTCTACCTTTTACTCTAAAACATGTATTTGACAGTTTTAGGTAATTTTCCCGACGTGTAAGTGTCTGGATGGGCAGAAAGCCCCCTTATTGGTCGCCCTGACCATCAGTGCATGAATGTGTATTCGAACACATTATTCGGGTGTCGTCTGGGTTGGTCCAGACTGCAATAGAGACTTTCTATTATCATCGGAATTCCTATTCACGGCAAGGATTTTCCTAGGGTTGTCATGGTAACTCAGTCAGGTCCAGATGAATAAGCACCATGATATTGTAATTCTCTGACCTACCGCTTTCAACATGACCAACTGTTGATTCAGCCTTTGCTCGTAAGTTACATGCAAACCAGCATGCTGTTTAAAAGCGGTAGTCACGGTTACTTGAGCTCAATTAACTTCTTGGACGTTGCCTTAAAATGCAGCTTATTGAACCCCTGTGTCCCTGAGAAGTTCCTACGTTCTGCTACTCTGGTCTGGAAATGTGGGGCCTTAAATGCCTCTGCTACATAAATGATTCAATTACTCCTCCTATTAAATGTGTTAGCAGAGATAGCGGTTTGCAGCCAGAGAGAGTGGAAGGAATGAAATTAACCTCGGCTAACTCTCTGTGCCCTCAACACTTGTATTATGACTTTCTATTAAAACCATATCTTTTCAGTAATGAATTCAGTCCTTGTACAAGAGAAGAGTTCCAGCATTTAGGCAAACTCATTTTTGTTTGTGTTCAGGTAAACAGTCAAGTGGAAGACCTGCTGACAGGGAGGCACTGGATGCTGTGAAATACCTATTAAAAAGAGCTTTTTACACCAATCAAACCGATAACATGGTAATTACTTACAAATTGAAAATGTTTTCTCTTTTTCGGAAGGACGAAAGCAAGTAAATAATGACATATTCAGCATATTGGTATAGAAAATACATAATGAATTCAAGGGTTGTCACTACACGCTGTGATTTATTACAGTAATAACCAATGAAATGGGATGACATTGGAAATTGATTAAATTTGTTCAGTGCATGTAAGTATATTTTGTTACTTCTGTTACTTTGTTACTGCACCCTCAGCTTAAAAGTCAGTGAATCCCTCCGCAGCGTTCTCTCAATTATTCTCTCTGTTTCAATAAATTCAGATGTACAGTATGCATGAATTATTAGTCTCTAACTCCATCTGGACCACACGATGCCAACACAATTTCTGTATTTTCTGGAGGTTTTTCTATGCTGGGCGGCGAGGGACTGCCTTTACTGCTATGAATCAATTAAATATTACTGTATTTTAGTGTATAGAGCCAATTGTTTTGCCAATTAAAATAAATCCTTTTCGGCTACAGCCTACAATGCTATTTTAGTCACTTGTACTTCTGCATTTATTAGGCAAAGATGGTTGGTAGCAGAGCTAAAAAATGGCTCACTCAATCCAACAGATGTATAACTTTGTTACTGCACCCTCAGCTTAAAAGTCAGTGAATCCCTCCGCAGCGTTCTCTCAATTATTCTCTCTGTTTCAATAAATTCAGATGTACAGTATGCATGAATTATTAGTCTCTAACTCCATCTGGACCACACGATGCCAACACAATTTCTGTATTTTCTGGAGGTTTTTCTATGCTGGGCGGCGAGGGACTGCCTTTACTGCTATGAATCAATTAAATATTACTGTATTTTAGTGTATAGAGCCAATTGTTTTGCCAATTAAAATAAATCCTTTTCGGCTACAGCCTACAATGCTATTTTAGTCACTTGTACTTCTGCATTTATTAGGCAAAGATGGTTGGTAGCAGAGCTAAAAAATGGCTCACTCAATCCAACAGGTTTTGCAGTGATTCACATGGACAGGCAGCGGTCCACAACAGCAGTTATGTTTTCTCATCAGTGACATGCTATTGAATTATTCCATCTATGAATGGGGTGTAATAACTGGGCACCTGAGCACAGCTAATAAGACCGTAGTGCTGTGTTGGACAAAAATGTATGCGATTCAGTATTTTAAACAATAGTTTACCGTCAACTTTAAAGGCGACTGGGGAAGCTCCAATTATCTTTTCCTTTTTTCAATTATTGGTGTGCACAAAATTGACCGGTCTCCTCAAAACTTTGATTTCAACCCCATCCTACACTCATCTGCCTGGCAGGCAATATCGGCCATCGCTGTTATTGACAAACTCACAATGTCTACATTGGTAGACACGGTTATTGCACTGTAGTACGCAGGTAGCTTTGGAACATCACGTTCAGTTACTGCCTACGGGTAAAATGCTGAAACATGCTTCTACTGTCATGCAGACTGTTTTATTACATATCAAATATACAGACACACATACGTATGTTATCAATGGGGCCCGACATGGTATGGATTTTCTAATGGCACACTTATTATTTCAATTGATCTCAGAGCTGTTGACAAAAAGGTTGACTTCAGCCTGAGGTAAAGGGAAATGAGGTGTCTCAGGCCAGGGAGGTTAATGGTACAAGATCATTACCCGCTCTGCACTGAAAGAGAAAATACAGTTAACTACTTTGAGCACGAGGAATTTCACAAGTCTGTCTGTGTGGCCCTACAATAGGTGTGGACTCCACAAATGACTGACCTTATTAACACTGTGGCTGGAGTTTCTCGGGGATCTTTCAGACGTTGCATTTTTCTTTGCCTTTGTGATCAATTCCTATGCCGATCCGACGCTGTTCCTTTGTACAACGGGGGTTGTCTCTATGCAGCTGCCCTGACAAGAAGAGGAACTCGATAAACAAGATCAGATTGCAGACGGGGGCATGAGCAGTTGCTATGGCAACCCCCCTTACACCATTTCACCCCCCTAGAATCAAGATCCTTCCTTCTAGTTGCCGCCGATGCCGGAGAGTCTCATTCGGCAGGACATATGAAGTGACAGACAGACAAAACACCCGTCACTGTGGGTAATCCAGAGTGGGTGTCACGACCCCGCAGCATCTGTACTGTAAAGCGATCCCTTTGAGAAATCTGTGAAACAAAATAAACAATGGTCTGCCGAGGAAAGTGGATGAACACGATTACATTTAATCGTCATAACGAACTGACAGGAGGAGACTTTTGATTGTTGAAATGAAGAGAGAGTTGTAAGGAATATACTGCACATGCATATGTACTCTTTAATGGTCTGTTACACACTGGTATATTCTATGCTTCCTAAGGGCTCTGTTGTTGTACCATAAGCTGTTGTAAAGCTTTCCTTTGAGTTTGAGCTGTCACATACATCCGTTCTTTTAAGCCTGTAAAATTCCTGTAGTTCTATTGATCCCTGTGTCCCCCCCCCACTCCATCATTTTTTTTTACCTCATTTGGTTTCAATGCCTCCCCCGTGGTCTTCCGTCTGCCAAATCTGATTATTCCTCGACAGGCACTGTAGCCTAGCAGGGAGGATTCAACATTAATAATTGGGGTATTCACCGCGCCGACGTCGACCGCACCTGTTGACGTGGATTCCTAATGAGACATTGGAATATGTGTCAAATCAAGGGTGGTGCATTTTTCCTTTTTTCCCTGTAAATGAACACCGGCATTTCCCTTTAAAAACACACACACACACACACACACACACACACACACACACACACACACACACACACACACACACACACACACACACACACACACACACACACACACACAAAAAGTCTTGAGGCAAATGCAAATCAAGTGCCCAGTAGAAATGGGAGGATAAATTCTTCCTACAGCCTTCAGAAGACTGCATTATGGGTACCACTAGATAATTAAAGCCATATTTACATCAAAACAGGGAATGGGGAATGTAATTTAGTCTTTACGTCATCCAGTGGAGGTGACGGGGAACATCCATCACCCTCTCTGTTGGCCTCCGTCACTTGGATTCCGCTGAAACCAGACGCATGCATTCAGAGTTGGCGCGAGCTCCCCGCCTGCTCGCTATAGTTTAGATTGAAAATATGTGAGGGCGAGGCCATTTTTACACTGACAACCAACTGTGAGGCAGGGACAGATCATCTGTCAACCCTCCTACAGGGCGCCATCGCTCTCCTTCACTTTCTCCCCTGCTTGCTCTCTTTAAGAGGAAAGGATGTGCCTGGGATGCACATCTGAGCTGGAAAACCACTGGGAGCCAAAATAAATGCTAATCAAATCCTCTGCTGGATGGTGGATGGCAGGTACGGGAAAAACACACGCATAAGAGAAGAGCGAGCTGTATCACAATAGACACCCAGGGGAAAGTGAGCAAACTGCTGCTTACTTAATATCTACCAATATATAACCAGGAGGAGCACTGACAATGTGCTGGGGGGAAAACAAGGCAAGCAAGGCGAGGCTCATACAAACCTTTTTTATTGAAGTCCCTTCAAATGAAATAAACAGGAATGGAAACTCATTAGGGCTGAAAAAGGTGACAAAGACTGAACAAATACCTTGCTGGAAGGTAACAGGCTACACAACTATGGAGCATCTCTTGCTATGAAAATTAAACCCAAATGTAAAGAATGTATAGTAAGTAACTTAAGTTAGTTCCACTGAGGCTACATGACAATGTAATTGACAATTACATCTGTGAAAGTAGTTTTTGGGTGAAAAGAAGTTCTTTTTCTTTCTCTGCCACATCTGGTGGCGCCGTTGATTTTGCATTGGCGTGTTGGAACGGTTTGGACCATCGTCGACCTCACCGCTAGTTTTATTCACAGCTCTCTGCCCCCCGCCTGCTGCTGTGATTCACTTGCACACGCTGGCATCAGCATATGTTGCTAGAGTGTGTAGCAAAACTTCTCAGGCAAAAACTCTGGAGAGAGCGGCTCAGGAAAGTCATTCAGCACATCAAGCTTAATCACCAGTTTTGCATTTTTTACCTGGCGAATGTTTATTTTGTTGACTCATGACAACAGTTATCAACAAACTTAGAGTAAAAGTGGGCGTCATCCTGCAGCGGTTACCCCTTATGCAAACGGCGTAAGCCTCATCAGCACGTCCTACTTTTACCAGAGAATAACTTAGTTATCATTCATTTTCAAGCAAATACACATAGACCAATGGCTCTGAACGCATGTAGTGGTTGTGCAGAAACAACTCAAATCAGATGCTCGTTCCTGCAGTAAAGTTTGAATGCATGCACTGTAATTCAAGCTGGAAAACGTCACAGCTCGGCATACGCATTCATATTTATACTGGCATTAAATATTTATCTCGTTCAAGGTGGGAAAACTATTTTGAAACTCTGATGCATCGAATTCTACAAAATTACAGCCTTCTTTTTCTCCTCCTGACATTTACAAAAAAAAAATACTTACTTCTTGGCATTTGGAAATGTGAATCTTAACTCCCCTCTTGGATCAGCTGTGGGAGAAATCGCTCAGCAAATGCTTTTCCATCCTGTTTTGGCTCAGTCAGCCTGACATTGAACGTCTGAGCAACTGAAGCAGCCAAGAAAGCATTTGCACTTCACTTTGCAGTTCAGTGCTGAGGCTTCTGGAAAACAACATTCACTTCCACAGCTTGAGAAAACATGTGATTAATGAATTAAAAACATAATTAACACGTCATTTCCCACTTGCCACTAGAGTGTCAGCCAGCTGTTCATTATTGTCAATTTAATATTTAATTTAAAAAATGATGTTTGTACTTAATATGTACATGCTTAATATGACACAAGAGTTTGTGCCCTTGTGTGCAAAGAGGCACTGAGGCTGTCCGACCTAAAGCGGACTCAGTTTGCACTGGGCTTCCTTCCAAACGTCTTCCAGCAGCTTGTTTTGCAGGTGCGCGTGTGTTTGTCTGTGCAGTGGAAAATCTTTTCCCCCACTCTCTCTCTCAGAGACTACGCTGACCTTCACTGAAGTTGTATGGCTCAAGTTTTGTTTCCTCAGGACAGTACTACTTAACTTCAAATCATATCCGCAGACGTTGAAGCGAGCCTGTGTGTGTGTGTGTGTGTGTGTGTGTGTGTCAGCATGGCGCCGAAGGTGTTATATCCGCAGATAGATTTTGTAACTGCAATAGTCTCTCAACCAGGCAGGATGTCGTGAACAAAGTTACTTTGTTTGGAATGTGGAGAAGTGACGTAGATGTTGTCGAATATTTTTTCTCCATTTCCATTTCCTTTTAGGAAAATTTCTGTCTCTTTAGCCCCCCGTATTATAAGTCATTTGGTGATGGACAGGAAGTCAAAAAGCCTTTGCAGAGCTGAGAGGAATGTCAGAGCTGTTGATAATAGAAAGAAGTAATAATGCTAGCACACTCTGCAATGCACTAATGCAATGCATTAGAAAATACAATCTCCCAGAAAATGCAACTATTTGTTTTCATTCTGTTTCGTATGTCTTTGTCCAGTTGCATTAACTGTCACGGACCATGCAGAATCTGCCATACCAGCGTCCAGTTATCCGTTTAACAGGATCAGTAGCTTCCAGTCGCCATCGAGCCCACTCTTGATATCCTCACTGCCTTTGCGAGCGAGAGGGCCGACCTGCGTTGTCTTACAAATGGAGAAGAGATGCTGTGTGAATTCAAATGCATTCGGCAGAATTGTATCTCCTCCCCGAAGCGGTGTCGCTGCATCATTTAGCAGCTAGCGAGCAGTGCCATGATTTGCTTTTCCAAACTGAGAGGAGAGAGAAGTGCGTTCTGCGTGGCCAAAAGGCCCTGACCAACCCTGAACAGTGACGTGTGGTGATCGCTCGTGACTGGGAGGCACGGACTCCTTCAGATTCACAAATATATGAGTTTAACAAAGTAGCATAAACCATTCAACTGGCTGCTTGCACTTCGACTACTGGTTATGTTTCATATCCCGTATCGTATATTCTTTTATAATACGGGGAAGATGAAATCAAGCGTTCTGATTGGTTGAGAGTGAGTCACAGGGTGTACTGATTTGAGCCATAATGTAATGTTACCTGTTACCTACATTGACCTGAGCGTTCATATCAGTGCGGTGAAATAACAGTTAGATTTTGCGTGACCGTTGGTTGTCATCTAAGTTTTTAGCTTGGTGCCGATCACCTAAAAACAGCCCAGAAACGGCGCAAATGAGCAGTTTTGTGAAAAGCGAGCTTTCGCAACCGATTTAAGGCACATTGTTGCCAAAGAGCAACATTCAGGTGGACGTCATGAGCGAAGTGAATGAATGAGATGCACAAATTAATGTCGATCTCCTTGTTAATCATCAACCAACTTCTGGTGCTAAGCTAGCAAACGTGAAGTTCCCAATGCTCTTTGTCTGTTGCATAGTAACAGCAGTACGGGGATTTTCTGTAGGCTGCTGAAATGCGACACACAACATTTGGTGGATACAACTTGTTTTGTGCTGAAAGGCAGCTATTTACTTACTAATAATGTCATGGACAAACCAAAGCAATAAGGTTTGCCAACAACACAACATTGTTGACGAAGTCCAGCATCTCGCACCTTATTGCTTAAATGTTCTTTTATATTTTTTAAATATTATTAAAAATAGGGCTGTTCTTTTATTTTTGTCGTGTACAGCAGTGTGTGCATGCTCTTACCTTTATTTGTATATTACATTAAGTCCATACGCCTATCCTTCTGTGGTCCCATTCCTGGGACCACAGCAGAAAAGTGATTAACTTGTAGGACAGATACAGTTGAACAGCAGAAACGACATCAGGCATTCAGTTCGACATGCACGTTGTTTCTGCAGAGCGAGCGGCCACAAACAACCCGGGTGCAACTGGTAGTGCCCCTAGTTCTCCCCCACCCCCCGAGGGAATGCAACACTCCGTCTGTATGGTCCACCTGCTCAAATTCCACCCTGCAATAACTACTCTCACTGTTTTACATATCTACCTAAATTACAGATACATATTGATGTGTTTACATCTTTGGGTGTGCCCCACTTCTGCAAAAACATCTCTGACTTTGGTGTAAAAGTCCTCTTAATCTTCTTTTTAGTTTCTTCAGTCTCTTTGTCTCAATAGACATTATTGCTCAGGGTGAAAGTCGTCCTTGGTTGGTCCGATTTAGACTGTATTTTTCAGTTTTCAAGGACTGATAATGTGCACTTGACGTTCGCTACTTGACTGTTTTTGCTAGCGCATGCTAACTATGCTATCAGTCTGTAATACGTGAAGAAAAACAACAGCGGAACGAGCCCGTGTGCTCACACACGCCCCCTTCAGGCAGGCAGAGGTACTGACTCCGCCTCCGCAGCAGTGACAAGCAGGAAGCTGCAGCTCGTCGCTGCCGCTACCTGTATTTGAACAGGAAAATACACAAATTCAGCGATTTTGACTATAACAGTCATCGGATTGATTGGAACCTAATAATTACACTTCTATAACAGATCAGTGGACAAATATATATTATTAATCATTATTTTTTTTCCCACATTTCATGATGACACAAGGGGAGGCACTGCCTCCAGTGACCGCATGTCACTGACCCTTAACCCCGCCCCTTGCGTCATTTATTTATTCATTTTGTTGTAGAGCAACACGCATTCAAAGCGTCAGTACTGCAGCATTTGTCCTCAGTCGACCCTGTTCTCTAGTCTCTGCCAGCAGCACCAGCAGCACAAGGTCAGTCTGACTCGTTCCTCACTGCGCATCTACCTCCCTGGATCCATTCGCAGAGAAATACCCTTCTAACAACTCTTTGCATCTTCTTTTCTCTGCCTTGGAGGCAGAGTTAACTTCTTCGGGTCTTTTCTTTCAGCGTCTTGATACAGAACATACTGACAGCTGACATGGTTTCTTCAATCAGCATCCATCCTCAGACTCTCCCGTCCGCCCCGGTCCCGAAACCATCACATATCGATGTTAGCTCATGTCTTTGCTTTACACTGTTCTTTGCCCAGTGCTGGGCACTTGCGGTTTTGTTCCCTTTTTTAGTTTGAAACTGGAGCTGAGTGAAATGTGTTAAAAGTCAAAAGTCTACTTCAGCAACACATGTTAAGGTTTCGGAAGCTCTCGAGGGAGGACTCAATCCTTTGTTCTCGTCCCGGCCGGAAACGAGGACACGAATGAGTCAATTCGTTTAAATTCAAAAATCAAAAGTTATTTAATAACTGAACAACGTAATAGGGATTACAATTACAAAGTGAAATACTAAGCGAACAGTGGAATATTTCGCGAAATAGAGAATCCTCTGAGCAAGTCTGAAGTGACTTATCAACGCGGCTGCAGGAGAAGTTCTAACAGTCTTTTCCCCGCCATGGTCCTTTGAAACCTCTTGAGGTGTGTCTTCTTTGGTGCATTTGAATGTCATTGGCCTCTTCTCCAAAGGGTCACCTCCTCCATTGTCCCTTCCACGTCGAGGTGTGAAGCTGCAGCTGTAACCTGAAACCTCTCTGTCCTATCTGTCCCTCACATTCCAATGCACTCAATGTAGATACATTCGGCTTTATGCCCCAATGAATGAACTTAACAAAGCATACAGCGTTTAAGTCTTCATCTTATAACTAGTACACTTTAATTACAACAACCCATCATTAATGATCACCGCTCATCACACTTCATCATAAGATCTAAAACAGTTCATGTGGTTCAATTCTCAAGACGTTTGCCTCAGTCGGCTGCCTTGAAATAAGTTGTTCATTTTATTACCTGACAGGAGAAAAAACTCCCAAAAAACCCTTTTTGGGGATAAAATTGGGAGAAATCCATAAAGAACGGCAATTGGCATCCGTCCCCAGGTTTTAACATCACATTGTAACAGAATGTAAATGTGTAGTGTGTTTCTACGATTTAAAAGACTATAAACTGTGTTTGATTCACATTGTATTCACTTCATCTAACATGTTAATGTAATAACTAATATCTAACATCACACAAACTATAATTCTAACACTAAACATTATTACACGTACTATAATTCCCTGACTAGGGGTGCACTTCTGGCTTAAATCCCTAACACACACAAGTGACAGCATCGACCCGAGGTTGGTTACAAATATCAAACGTATTTTACCTGTTGTCTATTCACTCTTATAAACATGAGTGGAAGACCACATGGGTGTAAAAGTCATTAGTGAACACGTTTATTTTTAAGAATTCCTAAACAAAACAAACACAGACGGCCAGCAGCATGGGGGGGATGTGTGAAAAATATCTGGAGCAAACAAACAAAATCAGCCGCCGTGTCAGGAAGAGCCGAGATTCCGGTTCAGGTGCTGAGTGTTTGCAGGTGGGAGTCTTGGGATGCAGACAAATGTAGCCTGATGCTGACCCTGCAAATCGGTTCTCCTCTTTAAGTTGCAATGTGCTCTGCAGTAACAGGGCTGCTTGTACTTCATGCCGTATTGTAGAAGGTAAAGCGGGCGGCGAGTGTGCTCAGCAACGCCAAACGGTGCATGCTGCTACTGTGTGCGCGCGTGCTTATCTTAAAACATATTGACAAATATATATTTGAAAAAAAGGAAACATGATTGGCTACTGACAACACTGAAGTTGCCAACCACATGACCCCTCGCTCTCTTCTCTGGTGCGGGTCGGTGGCCGTTCACACACCGATGATCATGGGCCTGGGGTGGCGTTGTGGGCTACAACCCCACAACCATTGGTCACGGTCATAGTTGCTTACACATGGGTGATCCAGGGCTCTGCGGTGCTGATAAGCATGCTGCAGGTGAAGGGTAGATGCGGCCCGGGCTTTTTTATTTGGTTTATAAACCTGTTGAACCCAGAGCTGTTTTTAGGCCTCTGCTCTGAAAATGGCAAACCCATGATAAAAAGTGTAACTACTTTATCCATCTTTTATTTTGTGATGGGATAAAGAGGAACGTCTGTGAGTGTTCTAATGTGTAAAAATCAGTTTATACTATAAATAAATCGATATAACACAAACTAAAAAATGACTTCCATACCTATAAGCTCTAAAATCTGGAAGTACTAGGCTAAAAACATGTTACTTCGATTGATCCTCTGAAAATGGGGATGAATGTGTAAATATGTGTCATGATCCAGCGCTCCCCTTCCCCGGAGTACGGAGGCCTTCGATGTCTGGTCCCCAAACTCCCCCGCTGTTTGCTGTCCGGTTGGTCTGTCCCGTTTTGTGTTGGTTTGTTCCACTGTGTGTCTGTCTGTAGTGCACGCCCACTCATCCCTACACACCTGTGTCTGGTTCCCCATCAAGCTGGTCTGTATATATACCCCTTATCCAGTGCTGTAGTGGTAAAATTAGAGGTGGGTAAACTCTGAATTTTGTGATCATACAGACCTCGACGCGATGCGAAGCAACGCAACACAAAGCGTCGCGACTCTGTAAGGCTGTCCTGGCTATATTGCATTATGTTATCAGTAAAAGTCATATACAATCAATGCTAATGAATACATGTGTTAGTAGTTTATTAAATTATTAAAAGAAAAGTATGTCAACACAACACAACAACACAATTGCAGATTAAGAACTATCTACATATGGAGTCTCCTTTTCACAGTAGTGCCCAGAGGGCCTTCTTGTCCTCCACGTCAGGTCCTGCCTTGCACAGAGGAGCCATGAACCCCCAAACACGCGTTCTGGGGTTCATGGCTCCTCTGTGCTTCTCCTCTCTCTATTGGACCTGGTGTTTCTCCTCTCCCTGTGCTCTCTGCATCATTGCCTGTCCTCTCACTGCCTGAAAAATATGTTGAATTTAAGAGTTAACCAGTTAAGCAGCCTGTCAATTACACTGACAACATAAGTTAAAGGAACACTCATG